TGCGGGGAGCCGACTGTGTCTTGCACTTGGCGGCGTGGGCGCGGGTTCCCCGCTCCATTGAGGACCCACTGGGCACCCACCAAGTCAATGTGGTCGGCACCCTGAACGTTCTGGATGCGGTACGCCGGTTCGAGGTGCCCAGGCTCGTTTACGTCTCGTCGTCAAGCGTATACGGTAACCAAGCGACCCACCTGCTGCACGAGGGCATGACACCCGATCCGCTGTCGCCCTACGGGCTGCAAAAGCTGATCGGTGAGCAATACTGCAGCCTGTATGCCCGCATGTTCGGAACCACCATTGTTTCCCTGCGCTACTTCAACGTATACGGCCCGCGACAGGCCAGCGAGGGGCCCTACACGCTAGTCGTCGCCCGATTTCAACAGCAACGGGACGCTGGCGAGCCGATCACCATCTATGGCGACGGCCTGCAAACGCGGTCGTACACGTACATTGATGACGTTGTACGGGCAACCGTTTCTGCCAGCGTCGCGGACCTTCCCGCCTCCCAAAATACCATCCTGAACATCGGCTCTGACGAGGAAACCTCGGTGCTGGAAATCGCCCGGCTCGTCGGCAGCCAAGTCAAGCACGTCTACCCGAACCCCCGCGGTGCGCTTGAGGAACGCCGCAAAGTTGCCGATTACAGCCGCGCCAAGTCCTTCCTCGGCTGGCAACCTGTTGTCTCATTCCCCACCGGTCTTGCACTCACTTATCCAGAGTAAGGCACGGTCTGCTGGCGTTGCGGCATCGGGACACATGGACATTAAGCCTTATGTGCCTGAGTCCGGCGACCACAATGTGACGCCGATTTCTCCACGCATCAAACGGCGGAATGCCAAGCGTCGCTGCGCCTCCCGCACCAAGGCGCTTAATGCACACCTCCAGAGCACATACATAATACCATCGGCCTTTTTTTGTTTCTGGCGTGAAAGTTCACGATCGCGTTCGATCTGAGATTCGCTTCGCGCGTCGTGAGAAACGACAGGTGGATCAAGATAAAACACATTCAGTCCGTTTTCCCAGAAACGAGAGAGCGCCTGGTCGACTTCCCACATCATCTTAGGGGTGTTTTCCAGGAAATAACGAGCCGCATCGCGCGTCATGACGTAACCTTCACTGCCATGGTCGTGATAACGTACTCGGCCGACTCGATGTCCTGTTGTCAAGACGCTCACAGGAACGAAGGTCTTTTTGAGCGATCGGCGATTCAATTTTACGATGTCGAAGGCGAACGGCCTGCGCTCCAGCGCATCGAGAACCTCTGGGAGGTCCGCCAACAATACAGCGTCGTCCTCGAAGATCGCCACAGTTTCCGGCCCATTCCCCACGATTTCCCGCATCACCTGACGCTGACTTATCCAATTGGCAATTGAGCCGTCGGCCTGGGGCCACAGGCCCAGCCGTCGCCGGGTTTCCCTGTCAACTTGGGCATAATGCTCTGGCGTGAGCTCTTGAGCGTCGAGGGCGCGGTGAAAGGTCGCTTCCAGACCCAATGACGCGAATTGCTGCTTCATCCGACGACGGCGCTCCTCGGCCTTGGCGAGATTGATAACAAACGATTTCATGGTTGGGTCCCCTCGTGATGGCGAGTCTTTCCAATTGTCCATCGAACAGTGTCGACATATAACGCCTTGTATGTTCAGTGCGGCTGCCGATGGCGACGTTTGCCTATCAGATCAACGATAATACGCTCGTAGAGACCGACCGAGGCGTCAAATGAGAACGCTTTCGCCCTGGCCAGCAATATGTCTTTGTTCAGGGGGGAATCGAGAACGTGTTCCATAGCCGCCGCAAGCTCTGATTCGTTTCCTACCGGAACAAGTGGTCCGAATCGGCCATCATCGAGAATCTCCGCCGGACCGGAGGGGCAGTTCGTGCTAACACAGGGGCAGCCGCATGCCATTGCCTCAATCAAGACGTTGCCTAAGCCTTCAAACTTGGATGAAAGAACGAACACGGATGCGCGGCTCATAAAGGCGTAGGGATTCGAGACCCAGCCGGGCAAAGACACGATTGCTTCAATGCCCATTTTGCGGATCATGTTTTCCAACCGTTGTCGCCAGCTTCCTTCCCCAAGAATAATCAGGCGGACTTGGCGATTCCGGGAGACTTGCCGGAACGCTCGCAGCAAGGTGGGAAAATCCTTGACCCGCGTCAGCCGTCCGGCGCTCAACACAATCGGGGACCCGTCGTCCAGCATCCAGGGATGCTCGGGAATAGCCCGAGCCAACTCATCGATTTCTGCGATGGCAACCGGATTGTAGACTCGGGAAATTCTGTTGCGAGGGACATGGAGTTTGAGGGCGACGCTGTCGGCAACGCCATCCGATGTGGCAAGAATATGATCTGCAATGGGAAACAGGGTAGCGTAGAGGTTTCGTAACCTCCGCCTTCTGTTCATCAAAACGCTGTGCATAATCGGAATTATTACCGGGTTCAGCTTGGTAAAACAGACTGCCAGCAATGTTGCCAATTTAGCTCTGGGGAGCGAAGGGAGGATGCAGTCCGGCTGTTCTTCGTCGATATAGACAGCCACGGAGCGGGCGTCGCTGAGCAAATCTCTCCGCAGAAACCTGAGTATTCTGAAACCGAAGCGTCGCACAATGCGCATGCGATCACGGAACTCATTGATCCGTTGCTGCTCCAACGAGAACTGGCGAGCCTGGGCGGGAGCCTCGCTTGCAAGCGTATCTGTTTTTCCGAACACAAGGAGATCTACCGCATGACCGCGTTCAATCAACCCACGCGCCAGCCTCAGCACGGAACGTTCCGCGCCGCCACCACCCAAATGAGGAATAGCAAGGGCAATTCGCAGGGGCTCTTCGGGTTTGCTCATTTCTAGCTCTGCAGTTCTTTTCTATCGACACGTAACGACATTTTGGGAATCGCTTAACATCACTGCAGCCTTCAACTCTCGCCGATTCATCGAATTTCTATAAGGAGGAAGCGTCCTATTGATACACCCGCGCGACGACGATATCAGAGCGCAGCGGCTCCTCGCCCCCAACCAAGCTGGATGAATGCGCTCAAGATAGACGACCATACCGGCCACCTTCCGTCGTCGCAGGCGGTCCATCAATGACCGCTTTCGCCTGTCGAACAGAGCAACCTGAACGCCTATGGTCACAAGCCCTTGGCGCAGGATTTCGGGCATCCCGGGTCAAGCCATATCGGTTGTTGCGGCCGACGATGGCAATGTCACGCATCGTCATGCTTCCTCCACCACATACCACCTTGACCGGCCGGAACAATGGCCGGCATGCTTTCGCCTCACGCTCCAAACGCGCCCGAAATTCACGCAGCGTCAAGCCGCGTGGCCGCCGGTCATTCGGCGGAATGACCCCTCCCGGCTTTGCACAAAAATCAGTTACGCCTTGCGTATTGGGTGCCAAGTTCTGTCTGAATCGGGCGGGCTTGCATGGGGTTCAGGGCGAGGGCACGTCGGCGGTTTGCAACTGCTGCCTGATGACGTCGATCTCTCCTTCGTTCCGGGAGACGCGTTCGCCGAGCTTGCGGAGGTCTGAAACGCCCTTGGCGAGATCCTCGATGTGCTTGTCCTGAGCGTCGAAGCGCTGGTTGATGTACTTATCCTGAGCGTCGAAGCGCTGGTTGATGTACTTGTCCTGAGCGTCAAAGCGCCGATCGACTGCGTCAAAACGCTGGTTGATGTACTTGTCCTGAGCGTCGAAGCGCTGGTTGATGGCGTCAAAGCGCTGGTGCATGGGATTGATGACGCCGAAATTGGATGAGGCCGGTAAATACGATGAGGACAGTGGCAATTGCCGCTATGGGCCCTGCTTGTTCTTTAGTCCAGTTCCACATGGTGGGTAGCCTCCAGGGTAGTGGGACTTGAAGAATAGTATCACAGGTTGAGCGTATTCCGAGTCGTCTGGTACCCGGCACGGCGGGTCTTCTGTGCGGAAAATCATGTTGCGCAAAAAGTCCACTGGTCACGGACTGTTTGTGCAAAGCCATCCCTGCCCCAGACGGCTCCATAATCGCGGACGTTCCGGGCCGCCACAATCAGCCGGTGCAAGATGGCCAAGGCGCGATTATGGCGTCCTGCGTCAGGGTGCCCGATCACCGGTGCATGAGCTTGGCCCCCCGCTCTGAAGACAGCGGCATCCACGGCCAACATATTGTAGGCAGACACGTCGGACGACCCTACCGCTTTTTCCAGCGGCGATGCAGCCAGAACCAGTGATCCGGGTACGCCCGCACGTACGACTCGATAAGCTGGTTGAAACGCCGCGTGTTGTCCGCGATGTCCTGCCGCAGATTGCCGCTGCGTTGGATCGGAATTTCCTCGCTGAACACCAGCCGGTGCTTTCCGAGACCCTGCCGAACCATGAAGACGCCGATGACCGGGCACCCGGCGCGCAAGGCCATCAGTGCCGGGCCGATCGAGGTGTACGCATCGGTCCCGAAGAACGGCACCGGGATACCCTCATGCCGCAGGCTGCTCTGATCCATGAGCAGGCCGACGATTTCGCCGCGGCGCAGCGCCTTGAGGCTGGCAGACAGCGCCTGGTTCTTCGGGATAGCGTGGTAGCCGCTGTAACGCCGGTAGGCGTCAACCAGGCGGGCCAGGGCAGGATTGTCCAGAGGTCTGACAATCACGTGCATGCGGGGCGCCAGACGCAGTGCGATGGCCGAGGCCAGCTCCCAGCTTCCGAAATGCGCCGAAAGCATGAGCAGCCCGGCTCGGCGCGCCAGGAGTTGTTCAACACGCTCAAGACCCTCGATCGTGCACACCGATGAGAACGTATCCGGCGTCAACCGGCGCATGCGGCTGAAATCGATCAGATGCTCGCCGAGATTGCGGAACGTGGCGCGAGCAATGGCGCGGCGCTCGGCGGCCGATTTCTCGCCGCCGAAAGCGATCTCGAGATTGTCCAGCGCAACCCGCCGGCGCCGGGCGAGACACAGGTACGCCAAGTCGCCAATGCGCGCGCCCAGCCAGTAGGCCGGACGCCGCGGTAGGTGCGTCAGAACGGCGGTCACCGCCGCGAGCAGGCCGTTGGCAAAAGATTCAGCAAGGCGTTGCATGATGCATGAGCGCGTCCAGATGGGTGGTTAACGGCGGATCGTGTGGGGTAAGTTCGACGTAGATGCGCAGCGTGTAAAGCGGTACCGGCGGCGGCCAGGCCGCATCGAGACGAACGGCGTCTTTCTCCGTGGTGACCAAGGCTTCCGCTCCCTCGCGGCGAGCAGCATCGCAAACTGGCCTGCCAGTCTGCCGAGGTATAGGGATGATGATCCGGGAACGCCAGAAACGCCGCTACCCGCGCCCTGCACTGCGCGAGGCTGGCAGAGAAGGCTCGCGGATTGCCAAGACCCGCGAACGCCACCACGCGGCGCTGCTGAAGCCAGGACGCATCCACTGAGCAGCCTGTGTCTTGGCGATACAGGTCGTGTGGGCTGACGGCCATGCGGTAAATCGGTTGCCGGCCGGCGTAGCGCCTGATCTGCTCGCAAAGCCCCGGCACCTCGTCCCCGGCCGTTTCAATCCTGCTCAGCACGATGACCTGCGCCCGCCGCAATGCGTGCAGCGGCTCGCGCAGCGTGCCGCGCGGCAGCAGAGCGCCGTGGCCGAACGGATTGCTGGCGTCAATCAACACGATGTCGCAATCGCGGTGCAAGGCGTGATGCTGGAACCCGTCGTCGAGCACCAGCACCTGCGCGCCGAATCGTTCACAGGCGTAAAGGCCACTCGCATAACGGTTGCGCCCGACAAGCACCGGCACCCCCGGCAAACGGTGGGCCAGGAGAAAGGCTTCATCGCCCGCGGTGCGCCAATCCGTCACGGGTCCATCGCCCGCCGACACGACCTGCGGCTGCTCGGTTGACGTGCCGCCGTATCCCCGGCTCAACACCGCCACACGCCAGCCTTGACGCTGATACCACTGTGCTGTCCATTCGGTGAGTGGCGTCTTCCCCGTGCCACCGAGGGTGAGATTGCCGATGCTGATCACAGGACACGGCAGCCGCCGACGCCGACGCACGCCCGACGTGTAACCCATCCGGTGCGCCCCCGCCGCGACCCGGTAGCCCTGAGAAGCCAGCCACAGCGGCGACAGGCCCGCACGAACCCAGAACGGCACCGGCAGCCCCTGCATGCCGTCATACACGGCACGGCGCCAGCCGTCGCGGCGCATATCGATTATTCGCATGCCCGTCCCATCTGGCGCTATTCGGCTGGCTGCGGCAGGAAATAGCCAAGCAACAGGACGTTCAGATGGACCAGCAACAGCTTGTTCCACGCCACGGTGGCGTCCAAGGCATCGGACGTATCCAAGGCTTCCCGGAACAACCCGGCAAAGGCCGTCTGCGCCAAACTCATGGCGCCCACCATGAACTGCGGCGGCACCTTGCCGCCGGGGCCGTGCTGCCGGTGGCTGTGCGACAGGCTGACAGCGAGCAGGTAGTAGACAAAATCGTGCGTCATCGCCACCTCGGCGGTCTCACGCAGCCAGCGCGCCAGGCTGTGCTTGCGCCGTTCGAGCCGTTGGGGGTCCGGGCTGCCGTCGTCGGCCAGGAAGAAGCGCGCGGTGGACGGGAACTTCAGAAAGTGTCCGTACAGAGCATCGGTGATCTGGCGTTCGTGCTGCAACACAATCGGGGCGGTGCGACGAATGAGCGCCGCGTCGTCGTCGGTGAGGCCGACGAAGTCCACCAATTCGCGCACGAAGCCTTGCATGTCGGCGCCCGGATGATCGCGCTGTGGATTCCCCACTGGCCCTCCCCTGCTCACAATGGTTCTGCCTCACCCGTAAACCTATGCAGGCACGGGCACGATCTGGCCGGTAGCCGCGCTTTTATGTACCGCGGCGGTGAATTCCATGTACTTCACGCCGGTAGCAAAGTCCGTCAGGACGATCTCTTCCTGACCGCGGATGGCGCCAATAAATTCTTCCTCCACACGCCAACTGCCCGCCTTCTTCGGGGCGACGTCGATTTCCTGCAGCCCCAGGTCGCCTTTACGGCCGCCGAACAGCTTGTTGCTCATCTGGTCGTAGTGCAGGGTGCCGGCGCTGCCGAAGAGCCAAGCGCCGGGTTCCTGAGCCAAACCGCACACCGAGCTGAATTCAAAGGTGGCCTGACCACCGCGCGCCAGGTCGGCGATGATATTGACGTGATCCGGGACGTCGACCTGAAAGGGTGCGTTGGTCTCCGGGTCGTGGCGTTGCGGCACCAGGATTTGGGAACGCGCAAAGACGTTTGCGGCGGGCCCCACCCAGCGGATGACGGCCTCGTACCAGATGCCCATGTTGAGGATATTGAGGCCGCTGCGGTCCTGCCGCTGCCGCCAGGTGAGCGGCGCCTCGGGATCAACGAAGCTCGGCACGGTGCCGCGCACCGTCATGTTGTACAGCTCGCCCAGATAGCCGTCGGCCAGCAAGTCCTGGATGGTGCGGTCGACGCGCAAGGTAAACGGCGACGGCACGATTTGCGCCACCAAGTCCGGGTGCGCCTGCGCGGTGGCGAGCATGGTACGGGCCTCCTCCGGATTCTTCGCCATGCGCGCTTCGCACATAACGTGCTTGCCCGCTTCCAACGCGGCGCAGGTCATCTCGCAGTGCATGTACGGCCACGTGCCGATCACCACCGCGTCGATATCATTGGCGGCGATCAATTCCCGCCAATCGTCATACACCTGCGGGATCGACATGGCCCCCGCCACTCGTTGCGAGGACTCGCGGCTGCGGTTGCAGACGCTGACCACCTCAACGCCGTCAATGGCCCGCAACCCCGGAATATGCCGCACGCGGGTGTTGTTGCCCGCCCCGATCACGCCAATACGAATCGCCATAAGGATGCTGCTCCTTGATGAATTCACGCCACTGTATGCAATGAAGGGGCAATTATTTCGCGTCCGGACATGTTGTGTCAACCCGCCGGACCGGCCTCCAACTGTAGGTCGGATTAGCGAAGCGTAATCCGACATTCCACCGCGCTCCACAGGCTCCTGCTGTCGAGTTACGCCTTCGGCTAACCGGACCCACTTGAAGCTGCCGGTAGCCCCTTCATGATTCACTTCGATACGAAAAAATTTCAACTCACCGTTAAAGTCCTACGTACTTCCGATCACTTCGGCAAGCGCCTCGCAGGTGCGCTGCAGCGCACCGCGGTTGGAACCGAGAGCCCGGAGAGAGCGTTGACCCATGGCGGCGGCTTCGGCGGGGTTCGCAAGCAGGTGCGCCGTATGCGTGTACAGATCGTTCTCATCGCGCACCTGGATGGCACCGTCGGCGTTGCGCAGCAGGTCTGCCAGTTCCGGGAAGTGATGCATGTGTGGACCGAACAGCACGGGCTTGGCAAACATGACCGGCTCCAGGATGTTGTGTCCGCCGATGGGCGCCAGACTGCCGCCGACGAAGGCCACGGTGCACAACCTGTAGAAAGCGACGAGTTCGCCCAGGGTGTCGAGAATGATCACGTCAGGCCACAAGTCAGAGGCGGATTCACCGGGATGTCGGGACCGTCGGATGGCTGATAAATTGCGAGCCTGAACGTGTCGAGCAACGGTTTCGACCCGTTCGAGATGGCGCGGCGCCAAAACCAGGCAGAGGCCGGGATACTGCGCGCGCAAACGCTGGTACACCGACAGCAGGATTGCCTCCTCGCCTTCGTGCGTGCTGCCGGCGACCAGCACCTGCCTGGCTGCCAAAAGGGGAGCCATGGGATGCGGCGGTGTGGGTTGCTCAGCCTGATTCAGTGCCCGGTCGATGTTGGTGTTTCCCACCGTTTGGACCTTGTGCGCGGGCACGCCAAGGCGCTGAAACCGCTGCGCACTGCTATCGGACTGCGCCAGAATCAGCGACACATTGGCCAGCACGCGGCGCATGAACGGACGAACCCGGGCGTATCTGCGAAAGGAACGCGGCGAAAGACGCCCGTTCACCAGCACAATGGGCACGCGCAACCGCCCTAGTTCGCGAAACAGGTTCGGCCACAGTTCCGTCTCCTGCACGATCAGGGCGCTGGGACGCAAGCGTCGTGCCATCCCGCCAACGATCCAGGGCAAATCAACCGGCAGCAGGAACACCCGCGCAGCCTGCGGAACCACTTTCTGCGCCAGCGCCTTACCGGTAGGGGTAAACGTGGAGAGCACCACGGGCCGTGACGGAAAACGACCGTGCAAGGCGGCAATGATCGGCTGTAACCCCTGCACCTCGCCCACGGATGCCGCGTGGAACCAGAGGCACCCCTCCGGCTCTTCATGCGGAAAGGAAACGCCACCAAAGCGCTCGGACAGGTCCTGCAGATAGGTCGCGCCGCGCAGGCAGCGCCACAGAAGATACGGCAGCGAGGCGATGCCGGCACCGATGAGGATAAGGGTATAGAGGACAGACATTCAGGCTATGAAGTAGTTGTCGGCCGTTTCCGTGATACACCGAAGGCTGGTCTCGACCTCCCGGCGCTTGGCCTCCAGGTCGGCGGCGGAGGCGTCGGCCGGCACGTAGATCGGTTCGCCGTAAACCACCACGATGCGGCTGAAGGGCAGAGGCAGCAGAAAGGCGTCCCAGCTTGCCAGCACTCGTTTCCATTGAGCGCCGAAGGTCATCGGCAAAATGGGAGCGCCGGTTCGTTTGGCCACCAGGATCAGGCCGGGCTGCACCTGGTAACGCGGGCCGCGCGGACCATCCGGGGTGAAGCCGGCGTGGTTGCCGCTTCGCACCTTGTTGACGACGGTCAGGAGCCCGCGGGCGCCGCCTCGGGTCGTGGAACCGCGGGTCGTCGGCACGCCGAAGCGCGACAACAGTTGCGTCACCAATTCGCCATCGCGGCTGTGGCTGACGAGAATCGTCAACCGCGCTCCGAGGTACTCGTACAGCTTCAGGAAATACAGCATGCGCCCATGCCAGAAGGTCAACAGGATCGGCGTCCGGGCGCCCTGCACCCGCTGCTCGACCTGCCGCTGAACGTACTCGGGGCGCAGCGTGACAAAGAGCCCACGCAACAGCCAACTGAGGAGCCGCACAACGGCACGCCTCGCCACGGGGGACGAACTCAGCAGCACCCCAAGCGATCTCATTCGGGCACCCGAACGTCCGTGTGCCGGTCACGCGCCTGGCGCAGGACCGCGCCGACGCTTGCGGCCGCTCGGCGGCTGCTGCCGCCTTCGCCCATCGTTGCACGCAGCGCCGTCAGTTCTCCTCTGATGCGCCGGGCTTCGACAGGATCCCGCAGGACGCTCAAGGCCGCGGCGGCCATGGCGCGCGGAGATACCGCTTCCTGTAGCAATTCGGGAACGACTCGGTGCCCGGCGACAATGTTGATGAGCCCGACGCAAGGGACCCGCAGAAGCCGCCTGGCCAGCCATGCGGTGAGGCGGTTGACACGGTAGACGATCACCATGGGAGCGCCAATGAGTCCCGCTTCCAGGGTCGCCGTGCCGGAAGCAACGAGTGCGAAATCGGCCGCGGAGAACGCCGTCAGGCTCTGTTGGCTGACCACCGTAAGCGCGCCGGGAAACCCGGATACGATCTGCTGCACCGTCTCCGCCACGGTCGGCGCCACTGGCAGAACGCCCTGCACCTCGGGCAGATCGTGTCGGATCAGGCTTAACGCCGCGAGCATGGGTTGCAGCAAAAGCTCCACTTCCCGACGGCGGCTGCCGGGGAGCAGGGCGACGATGGGCCGTTGTGTGTCCAATCCCAGCGTCTGGGCGGCTTGGCTGCGGTCCGGCAGGCCGGGCAGGCAATCGAGGAGCGGGTGCCCGACATATTCGGCATCGACCCCGGCAGCGGCGTAGAACGGCACCTCAAACGGGAACAGCGTCAGCATCTTGTCCACGCGGCGCGCCACCTTGTGAATGCGGTTCTGACGCCAAGCCCAAATCTGCGGGCTAACGTAGTAGACGACCTGCAAACCCGCCTGTTTGGCCCAGCGGGCAAAGGGCAAATTAAAGCCCGGCGCGTCGATCAGCACCACCACACGGACACCGCGCTCACGAGCGGCTTGCAAAAGGCGACGCGCCATCAACAGGCCCGAGGGAACCTTGGCGAGCACTTCGACGAGACCCACCACGTTCAGCGCCTCGACGTCGAACAGCGTTTCTACGCCGGCCGCGCGCATGTGCTCGCCGCCCACGCCGAAGATCGACAGGTCCGGGAAGTCCTCTCGCAAGACGCGGGCCATTGCCGCGCCGTGCTGATCGCCCGAGGTTTCGCCCGCGATGATGAGAAGCGGTGCATCCTGCGCGTGACTGTCCATAACGCTCTCCCGCCGCATTATTGCAGCAGCGCCGGCGTGAGCCCGACCAACGCCAGGCGATTGGCGTTGGCCGTCGCAATCAATTCCGGGAGGTGCAGCATAACGGTCGTTCCCGCCTCCACCGCCAACACGCCGGCCCGGCCTTCCGCCGCTGCGGCCAGGGTGTGCGGCCCAACAACGGGCACGTCGAAGCGCATGTCCTGCTGCCGCCTGTTGACCTTCACCACCACGGCGCTGCGTCCATACGCACAGCCGCGCCGGATGGTCGCATCCGTGCCCTCCAACGCTTCCACAGCGAGAATCGTACGGCGACGCACCACAACCGTTTGCCCGATATCCATCGAGGCAAGCTGCTTGGCCTGCGCAAAGCCGTAGACAATATCCTCCCAGGCCCGGCTGTCCGGCCGGTGTCTGCCAAACACGCCCTCCGGGGTCAGCAAATGCCCCAGCAGGCGCGTCTGCTCGACCACCTGCAGGCCCTCCTTGGCAAACTCATCCGCCACGGCCTCCATCATGGTGACATCCCGGTAATCCGGCAACTGGCCGAGGCGGCGCAGGGCTCGCAGGTCCAGACGCGGCGTCTGGAAGAGGAAACGCTTCTCCACCTTGCCGACCATAACGACCTCGCGCACGTCGTAGTGCTGTAAGGTACGGATGATTTTGCTGAGTTGACCGGGACCGTGCTGGCACAGAATGGGGCAATACGGTGCCAAATCGGCGGCAATTTGCGGTGAAAGCGCGATGGTAGGCAGGGGGCGATCGTCGCATCTGGCTTGACGCGCGATGAGGAGCGGGATGTCACCGGCACCGGCAATCATGCCGAGCGGCGACGTATCGAAACCACACGCGGCATCCGAAACGAGGCGGTGGGCGCCATCATCTCCGGCCATGGCCGTTCTCCTCCGCCATGTCGTGCAGCGGCGCGTGGGCTCAGAACATACCGTCTTTTTCCAGGATTTCGAGGACTTGCAGGGCCACCTGCAGCGAGTGCAGTTCTTCGGCCACGGTAGGCACCCGCGAGATCTGATGGATGGTGCTGTCGATGAAGCTCTTGATTTCCAGCTTGAGGGGATTGTCCTTGTGCACGAAGATGCGCTCGATGAAGGACTCCTGTTTGTAGCGCAACGTGCCGCGCGCAACGATGTGCTCCGAAGAGGCTTGGCGATGGACACGAATGTCCTGATCAGTGTAATCCAGCAGGATATAGGCATTGGGCTGCGTGATCGCCATGGTACGAACCTTGACCTCGGTAGCCCGGGAGGCAAGGAGAGTGGCGATACAACCATTCTGGAAGCAGATCTGCACGTTGGCCAGATCCTCCTTGCCGGTGTATACCGATCGGCCCAAAGCCTGTATGCGCTGAATGGGGGAAGGAACGAGCCCCAGGATGATGTCGATATCGTGAATCATGAGATCCAGAATTACCCCGTCATCCTTGATGCGCGGGACGAAAGGACCCAGTCGGCGGCTTTCGATCATCAGGGGTTCGTGGACGATCTTTTTCAGTTCTTGCACCGCGCCGTTAAAGCGCTCAACGTGCCCGATGTGCAGGACCATGTTCCTGGACTCGGCCAAGTCAAACAGGTCGCGGGCTTCGTCCATGGTGTGGGCAATGGGCTTTTCGAGGAGGACATGTACGCCGGCGTCCAAAAAATCCCTGGCAACGAGATGGTGCAAGGAGGTCGGGACGGCGATGCTGACGGCGTCCACCTCGTCAATGAGGTCGTGGTAATTGGTATAGGCAGTGGTGTTGTATTGTTGAGCGGTGCTATGCACGCGGCCGTGATTGATGTCGGCAACGCCTACCAAATCGACGTCGGGCAACTCGCTGTAAAGCCCCACGTGATACCGCCCCATATGCCCGACACCGACAACGCCGACTCTCAGTTTTTGTTCCATTGTTCCCCTTCACCTTCCGTATCATGGCTGGACGACTTGCGTGGTGATGAGCAGAGGCCCCGTTTGGACCGTTCGATGAAGCGCACCAAGTGAGCCACGGGTGCGCTGAGGTGTGGCTGGTGCCGCAATGTATCAAGAACTTGCGTGATATTCAAATCCGAACGGTAGAGCAAACGGTAGACGTCTTTGAGCTCCTTACGCTGTTTCGGTGCAAACCCCGATCGCCTCAGGCCTATGGTATTCACGCCGCGCACCAGTGCCGGGCTGCCTGCAGTGCGCATATAGGGTGGCGCGTCCTGAATCAGACGCGAGGCGCCCCCTACCATGCTGTGCGTGCCGATACGCACGAATTGATGGACGCCGGTTACGCCTCCCACCACCGCCCAGTCTTCGACCTCGACGTGACCCGCCAAGGCCGTCAAGCTGGCCACGATGACATGATCGCCGAGAACACAGTCGTGAGCGATGTGGGCTTGCGACATGATGAAGTTGTGCGATCCGATTTTCGTACAGCCACCCGTTGCCGCGCTACAGTGGATGACGGCCAGCTCACGAATGTCGCACTCGTCGCCGATGTTCAGGTAACTCGCCCCGCCCTCATAGCTCACGTCTTGGGCAGCGCCACCCAGCTTGGCGCCGTTGCCGATGCGGCACCGCGCGCCGACGGTGGTACCTGATTCGATAACAACGTGGGAACCAATCACGGTACCGGCGCCGATGGTGACGCCCGCCTCGACGATACTGAAGGGGCCAACGACGGCGTCCTCGGCCAAGTTGGCGCTCGGGTCGACAATCGCCCGCGGGTCGATCCGCATTATTGGGCCTCTTCTTCGGCGTTGGGTTTGTCGCCGAGAAACACCAGCAGTTGGGCCTGCGCCGCCAGTTCTCCGTCCACACAGGCCTGACCCGCGACGCGCCAGAGTGAACCGTGCCGCCGTACTACCTCAAGGCGTATGACGAGTTGATCCCCCGGCACAACCTGACGCCTGAATCGACAATGATCGACGCCCGCGAGCAGCGGCAACCGGGTGCTGGTAACCGCCTGTGGTTTTGAATAGCCAACAAGGACGCCGGCAACTTGCGCCATGGCCTCAACGATGAGCACGCCGGGCATCACTCGATAATGCGGGAAATGCCCCTGAAAGAACGGCTCATTGAGGCTGACGTTCTTGACCCCGATGGCGTACTGGTCCGGCTGAATTTCCCGGATGCGATCCACCAAAATGAAAGGGTACCGATGCGGCAACAACGCCAAAATATCTTCCGGTCCCAGTGACATCATTTCCCCTCGCTTCGGCTCTCGAGCGCCTCAAGGCGCCGCTGAAGCCGCTTGACACTTTGAAACAATTCCCCAAGCTTCAGCCCATAGAGATGTGCTCGCTTGGCAAGGGTTGAGGGAACTGCCGGCGAACCGAACACCGTCGTGTCGGGTTCCACATCGGCCGCCACGCCGGCTTGCCCGGCGATGGCCGCCCCATCGCCGACAGTCACGTGATCTGCGATGCCGGCCTGCCCGCCCATGCGCACCCCGGTACCCACCCGCACGCTTCCCGACACCCCCGCCTGCCCGGCCACAACGGTGTAAGCCCCCACCGTACTGTTGTGTCCAATCTGCACAAGGTTGTCAAGCTTCGCCCCGACCTCAACGACCGTGTTGCCGAGGGTGGCACGGTCAATGCACGTATTGGCGCCGATCTCTACGCCGTCGCCAATAAGGACGCCGCCAATCTGAGGGATCTTGCGGTAGTCCCCGCCGTCCAAGCGGCGGTACCCGAAGCCATCCGCACCAATGACCGCGCCGCTGTGAATGACCACGCCACGCCCCAGTGTCACCTGAGAGTACAGGCTCACGTTGGCATATAAGACGCATTCCGGTCCGATGTGGCACCCGGGTCCAATGTAGGTTCCAGGATAGATGACAACATCGTCTTCCAACCGGGTGCCCCTACCGATCACCACACACGGCCCAACGCTCACGCGCTGACCCACCACAACGTCCGGGGCCAGCACGGCGAGGGCATCGATACCCCAGGCCGGGTGCTGCTGTGGGAAGTATTCCTCAACCAAGCAGATGAATCCGAGATACGGATCGGGCACGCGAAGAGCCGGCCGATCCACCGGCATATCCGGTGCGACGAGAACCGCACTGGCATGCGACGCGGCGAGACGACCCCGGGCGTTACGGTCGCCAGCCACGAAGGCCAAATCACCGGCCTTTGCTTCCTCGAGGGACGCAAGACCGCAGATCGTCATCTGCCCGTCACCGACGATCTCAGCTTCGAGCAACTGCGCTAATTCGGCCAGCGTCGCACGCATGACCATCCCCTCGCAGGTTATTCGGCCTCGGCCGACGTCTGATCAAACAACTGAATGACCTCTTCGGTAAGATCAACGGTGGCATCAATGTAGAGAACAAGCGCGGCGCTGTCGTTACCCTCCAGGATCAAGGTGTATTGACCGCGCGTGCCGACCTCGCGCACGACGTCCCGGATAGCAACGAGCAGCAATTGGGTTTCGCGAACCTCCTTCTCGCGGAATTCCTGTGTGGCGTCGTCGATGAAATTATTGGTATCGTCGATAAAACGCTTCAGTTCCCGGATACTCTTGCGGAATTCCTCTTCCTTCCCCATGCGCGCCTGCCCACTGAGCACGAGACCCTGCCGTTGGATCTCGCTGCGAAGATTTTGCAGCTCTTCCTCCTTGCGCTCCTTGAATTCGCGCTTGGCTTGAATCTCGCGCTGCAACTGATCGCCGAGTTCCTTCAGACGCTCCTTCGCAGCCTTGCCGCGCACCGAGCCATCCAGTACCGCTTGCAAATCGACCACTCCCACCTTGACGCCCTGCGCCTGAACCATGCCAGCCAAGCCCAGGCTCACGACGAATGCCAACATCAGGAGTCCCGGCTTTTTAAAACTCCATGGACGTGCCATCTGCACTCCTTTTTCTGCCAAGTTAAAATCATGTCTTGCGCCTTAAAAGGTGCCCAAGAGGAAGCCCAATCTACCGGCGGATTCACCCGGCTTCTTATCCAGCTTAAAACCATAGTCCAGGCGAATCGGCCCTATTGGCGTTACGATACGGATGCCGAGCCCGGCACTACGGCGCAGACTGCCTATGTCGAAGTCATTATCGGAATCGTACACGTTACCCGCGTCAACGAACGTGACCACTCGCAGCACGCTGCCGAGGCTCCTGCCGATCTCGATGTTGAACTGTACGAAGGACGTACCGCCGGTACCGTCCTCTGGCCCTATATCGCGGAACTCGAAACCGCGTATGGTCGTGACACCGCCGAGGAAAAATCGCTCCGACGGCGGCAGTTCCTTGTCACCAAAGCCGTCGCCAAAACCGAACCGGCCGCGCACGAAGCCTGTCATTTCAGCGGGTAGCGCGAAATACCAGGTGGAATTGCCAATCGCCCTGTAGTAGCGGTTGTCGCCGCCCAAGCCCGCAAGCTGGATCTCAAACGAATTGACCGAGCCTTCCGACGGGTTGAACACGTTGTCGCGCGAGTCTCGCAAGATGCTTGGGGTAACGCTGCTGGTTGTCGATTTACCCTGCGACTGCCGAAGTAATGGGGAGGCGTTGGCGCTCAGATTGCTGATGTCGAGCACCTCGTATCGGTAAGCGGCCGAAATGCGGGCGAATTCGCCGATCGCGCGCCCGAGGCTCAGGCTGACGCCCGTGCGGTCCACGTCGAAGGTCTGAAAATCCTCTGAACGGTTAAAGACGCTTGCCCCAAGGCTTATGGGCCGACCATAGAGCCATGGCTCACGGAAGGAAAGGGAAAAGTCCTGCGAGATGCCGCCAATATACGCATTCGCCCTCACCGTCTGACCGCGGCCGAAGAGATTGTTCTGCACCACAGAAACCGTGAAGATGACGTCTTCAACCGAACTGAATCCAAGCCCGGCGCTGAATTGTCCAGTTGAGCGCTCTCTCAGCTGCACCTCAAGGTCGAGCAGGTCGTCCTCGGCACGAGGCCTGGTGTCGATATTGACCTCTTCGAAGTACTGCAGATTATTGAGTCGCTGACGCGACCGGCGCAGCTTGCTACCGCTGTACAGTTCCCCTTCGTCGAGCCGCAATTCGCGGCGAATGACCCGGTCTTGGGTACGCTCGTTACCGATGATATCGATCCGCCCGATATAAACCTTGGGACCCGGATGGGTCGTAAAGCCGAGATTGACCAGCCGGGTCTGTTGGTCGAGGGATACCGTTGGGACGATGTCGGCAAAGGCGTAGCCCTTGTCGGCGTATGCCTCCGTCAGGGTGAGAATATCGCGCCGCACTGTCTCTCGGCTGTATATTTCGCCGCTGGTGACGCGAACGAGACCGCGCAGTTCCTCCGAGCTGAACACCTCGCTGCCGGTGAGGACGACGGTGCCGACCTTGTACTGCTCGCCCTCCCGTGCAATGGGCACGGTAACGGCGATGGCGCCGGCTTCCCGGTTGATCTCGACAACGGGCTCGCCAATCTGCACGTTCACGAAGCCGTTGCTCTGGTATAACTGCTCCAGAAGCTGGAGATCGACCCGCAGCACCTCGGGCCGGTAGAGCGACGCCGAATCGCTCACAATCGGCAGGAAGTATTCCTGGAGTTGGACTTCCTTGCGCAATTGGTTGTCGGTGAAGTACGTGTTGCCGGTGAACTGAATCCTGCGGATGCGGATTCGCCTACCCTCGGTGATAATCAGCTCGATATCGACCTGATTATCGGCTACCGGCGTAATATCGGGACGCACGTGGGCAAAATAATAGCCGGATTCACGGTAATGATTCTGCAAACCGGTGATTGTGTCGTTGAGGAGGCCGCGGTCGAAAGTCGAACGTTCCTTGAGTTGGATACGCTCGTCGATTTCATCCTCCGGGATCGCCCGGTTGCCCGAGTAGGTTACCCGGCGCACGGTGGGTTTTTCAGTGACTGTGATAATCAGGCGCATGCCGCCTTCGATTTCTTCCGCCGTCACCCGGATATTGTCGAAAGTTTCCAGGGCGTACAACCGCTTGACGTCTTCGCTCAGGGTTCGGGGAACGTAGACCTTGCCTGCCTCCGTTTCCAGATAGAACCGGATGGTGGACTCTTGGGTCAGACGATTGCCGCGAATCTCAATGTCACGGACGATGGCACCCGGTCCGACTTGCGCCGCTGCGTTGCAAGCGAATATCAGGAGACTCGACAGCAACACGATCAGACCGAACCATCTTTGCCGCGTCATGAACCACGTTCTCCCGCCACCGCCAGCCGAACCCCTAGGTACGGCACCCGGTCCAATGTCTTACCTTCCCTCCAGACACGCCAAAGCCCGATGGAGAATTTTCCCCACCGGGCCTTGGAACTTACATCGGGACACCGGAACCCCGGTTAGCTATCGGACAGGGTTTCCACCGCATCTTCCTCCTTGGAGAGGAACACCAATTCTTCCCCTGCCAGCTTGATCTCCACGACGCCGCCTTGCGCAAACTCGCCACGCAGCACCTCCTCGGACAGAGGGTCTTCAATGTGGCGTTGGATGGCGCGCTTCAGGGGCCGCGCACCATAAGCCGGATCGTATCCCTGCTCCGCCAGCCAAGTCTTAGCGCTGTCGTCAATCTCGAGCGTGATACCGTTGTCGGCCATCTGCTCGTTCAAACGGCCAAGTAGGATGTCCACAATGTACCGCATATGGTCAAGGCTCAACGAGTGGAACATAATCGCTTCGTCGATACGATTGAGAAACTCAGGGTTGAAGGTGCGCTTGAGCTCGTTCATGACGTTCTCTTTGATCTTCTCGAACGTGCCCTCCTCATCCCTCTGGAAGCCGATCGCCGTGTTTTTCTCGATCGTGCGAGCGCTTACGTTCGAGGTCATGATGAGCACGACGTTCTTGAAGTCCACCTTGCGCCCGTAGCTGTCGGTGAGATGCCCGTCGTCCATGACCTGAAGCAACATGTGATAGACGTCCGGGTGCGCCTTCTCGATCTCGTCGAGCAACACGACCGAGTATGGCCGCCGCCGCACCTGCTCCGTGAGCTGTCCGCCCTCGTCATACCCCACATATCCAGGAGGCGCCCCTATCAGGCGCGATACGCTGAAACGTTCCATGTACTCCGACATGTCAACCCGAATGAGTGAACTCTCGTGACCGAACAGAAACTCGGCGAGGGCACGCGCCAACTCGGTTTTGCCAACCCCCGTGGGGCCCAGGAAAATGAACGTTCCCACCGGACGGCGCGGATCTTTGAGGCCGGCCCGTGAGCGACGGATCGCCCGCGTGACTACGGCAATCGCCTCCTCCTGGCCAACCACGCGATTGTGGATCTCCGCCTCCATATTGAGCAAGCGTCGCGACTCGGCTTCCTCAATCTTCGACAGCGGGATACCCGTCATCCGGGACACAACGTACGCCATGTCCTCTTCTGTCACGGGTATTTCGGATTCCTCTTGTGCTTCTTCCCACTCGGTCCTCAGGTCTTCCACCTGGCGCCGCATCCCCTCTTCCTGATCCCGCAATTCAACGGCGCGCTCGAATTCCTGATTCTCGATCTTCTCCTTCTTCGACTTGGCGATCTCGTTAATTTGCCGCTGCAGGTCACGCATCATCGGCGGCGGCGTCACGCTTCGCAGGCGCACGCGAGCGCCTGCCTCGTCCATGACGTCGATGGCCTTATCGGGAAGAAAACGGTCGGTGATGTAACGGGCAGAAAGCTTGACGGCTTGCACGATCGACTCATCGGGAATGCGCAGGTGGTGATTGGGCTTCATATCGGTCCTTCAAGCCGCGCAGGATTTCGATGCTTTCCTCGACATTCGGCGGGTCGACCGTAATGGGCTGAAAACGTCTCTCCAAAGCGCCATTCTTCTCAATGTATTTGCGGTACTCGTCGAGGGTCGTAGCGCCGATGCACTGAATCTCGCCGCGCGACAGCGCCGGCTTGAGCATATTGGAGGCATCCACGGACCCCTCAGCAGCGCCGGCTCCCACCAAGGTGTGCAACTCATCGATAAAAATGATGATGTTTTCCGCCTGCACGATTTCTTTCATGATCGCCTTCATGCGCGCTTCGAACTGGCCACGATACTTCGTGCCGGCCACCAATGCCCCCGAGATCAAGAGCCACCACGCGGCGGTCAAACAGCAACTGCGGCACCTCGCGGTTGACGATACGCTGCGCCAGCCCCTCCACGATCGCCGTCTTGCCGACACCGGGCTCGCCGATGAGCACCGGGTTGTTCTTGGTCCGCCGGCTCAGGATTTGCACCACGCGCTCAATCTCGTTCTCGCGCCCGATGACCGGGTCAAGCTTGCCGTTCTGGCCCAACTCGGTGAGGTCGCGGCCGAATTCGTCCAGCGCCGGGGTCTTACTTTTTTCCTTGGTCTTCGTCGTGGGTTCCTGCAGCAGGTTGAGAATCTTTTCACGCGTTTCGACGAGACGGATACCCAGATTATTCAGCACCTTGGCACCAATGCCCTCTTTTTCCTTGAGGAGGCCAAGGAGCAGGTGCTCGGTACCGATGTAGTTGTGGCCCATGAGGCGGGCTTCTTCCACACCGTACTCCAGCACCTTCTTGGCTTTCGGAGTGAACGGAATCTCGCCGACGATCAGCGCGTTGGCATTACGCGGCAGGTGGCGCTCGATTTCCATCCGAACGTGATCAATGCTCAAGCCGGCCTTCTGCAGCACGGTAATGGCAATGCCACCCCCGTCTTTCAGCATGCCCAGCAAGATGTGCTCGGGCCCCAGATACTCGTGGTGATGGCGCTCCGCTTCTTCTCTGGCGAGGATAATTACCCGTCTGGCCCGTTCTGTAAATCGCTTGAACATTGTCACATCTCCTCAGGCTGCGCTGACTTTGCCATCAACAAGGGATATCACCCGGTCCATGTGTGCAGCAAATTTCTGGTCGTGCGTCACAATGACGAACGTTTGCCCCAATTCTTGATTCAGTTGACGCAGAAGCGTTTGTATCGTCTGACCGGTGGCACGGTCAAGATTCCCGGTGGGCTCATCGGCTAACAAAACGTCTGGGTTGTTGATAAGGGCTCTGGCGACTGCAACCCGCTGCTGCTCGCCGCCGGAAAGCGCGCCGGGCCGGTGGTGGAGTCGATCAGCCAACCCAACGCTGGCCAAGAGCTGGCGCGCCTGGTGTTCTACCTCTTGCTTGGGTCGTCGCTGGATGAGGGCAGGCATCATGGTATTTTCCAAAGCTGAAAACTCGGGCAAGAGGTGGTGGAACTGAAAGACGAAACCAACACGACGACTCCTGAAATCAGCCAACCGCCGGTCCGAAAGCTGCGACAGGTCGACCCCGGCACAACAGATACGGCCCTGCGTCGGCCGGTCCAGACCGCCTATCAGATGCAGCAGCGTGCTTTTCCCGGCGCCCGAAGGACCTACGATAGCCACCATTTCCTGGCTGGCAATCTGCATCTGCACGCCTTGCAAAACCTCAACCGTGGTATCGGTTTGAGCATACCGCTTATACACCTTGTCAACCGAAATCACCACAGGCTTCAGGCCGCATCTGTTAAGTGGCTCAATCATAGCATGAACTACTCATATCTCAAAGCTACCACGGGATCGAGCCGGGAGGCATTCCAAGCCGGGTACAGAGTCGCCAGAAAGCTCACGCAGACCGAGGTCACCACGATCGCAACGACATCCAGCGGTCGGATTTCCACAGGGAGTTGATCAATGACATAAACGTCCGGGGGGAAAAACTGAATGCCCAGCCAGCCCTCGATCGCCGTGGCGATAGCCGGCAGATTCCAGGCCAGAAGCAAACCGGCGATCGTCCCAATGACCATTCCGAACAGGCCGATCACCAGACCCTGGATCATGAAGATGCGGTAGATACCCCGATTGCTTGCGCCCATGGCCTTCAGGATGGCAATGGCGCCGGTCTTCTCCATCACCATCATGATCAGCGTGCTGATGATGTTGAAGGCGGCCACCAGGATGATCAGCACTAGAATAATGAACATCAGCACCCGCTCCTGCCGCAGTGCCGAAAAAAGCGTTCGGTTCATCTGCATCCAGTCGCGCGTCCAAACGCCCGACCCGAGCAGCGCCTCGGTCGCTTCCGCCACGTCGCGCACGCGGTAGATGTCGTCCACTCGAACCTCGATGCCGTGCACGACTTCCCCGAGATCGAAAAGCTCCTGCGCCTCGCCCAAGGAAATCAGGGCGAGCTTGGCGTCGTATTCGTACATGCCGGTCTCAAACGTCCCGGTAACCGTGAAGCCGCGCATATTGGGCAAGATGCCCGCCGGCTGAAGAATGCCCAGCGGCGAGTTGAGAATGATCTGCTCTCCAGCGGCAACGCGCAGGGTGCGCGCCAACTCCGTGCCCAACACGATGCCGCGGCGCGCCGATTGGGACGCGCCGCTATCAGCGCTGCCTGGATCGGGCGCTGGGGGGTTGAGCAACGCCGTCAGGTCTCGGCCCTCGAACAGCCGGGCGAAATCCCCCGTCTGGCTCCTCTCATCGGGGTCGATGCCCCGCACGATCGTCCCGGCAACGCGCCGGCCGGCCATGAGCATCACCTCGTGAGCGGTGAACGGCGTCGCGTGTGTCACGCGGGGTATGGTCTCGATCCGGCTCGCCATATCCCGGTAGCCCTGAAGTTGCCCCGTACGCTGCGGTAGAACCCACAGATGCGCATTGATGCCGAGGAGCTTCTCCTTGAGAGTCGTCTCAAATCCGCTCATCACCGACAAGACGACGATCAGCACCATGACGCCAACCGCCACCCCGCCCACCGAGATCAAGGTAATCAGCGAGATGAATCCCTGCCGGCGGCGCGATTTGAGATATCGCAAACTGACGAAAAATTCGTACATGGGGATTATCCGGCTTCGCGTTGTGAAAGGAGATAAGCTTGCATGAATGGATCCAACTGGCCAGCGAACACCGCCGCCACGTTGCCCATCTCGAAGCCCGTGCGGTGATCCTTGACCAGTTGATAGGGGGCCAGCACGTAGGAACGAATCTGATTGCCCCAGGCGATGTCTTTTTTCTCGCCCTGAAGTTCCGCCATCTTGTCACGCTGACGCCGCTGCGCCAAGGCATAAAGGCGCGAACGCAGCACACCCATGGCGCTGGCGCGATTCTTGTGCTGCGAGCGCTCGTTCTGACACTGCACGACGATGCGGGTGTCATCGTCCACTTGATAGGTGAGCCGGATGGCAGAATCGGTCACGTTGACGTGCTGCCCGCCGGCGCCGCTTGAGCGGTACGTATCGACCCGCAAGCGGCTCTCGTCGATATCGACCTCCACCGAGGCATCAACCTCGGGGGAAACCAGGACCGAAGCGAACGACGTATGGCGGCGCTTGGCCGCGTCGAAAGGCGAGATGCGCACCAGACGGTGCACGCCGTTTTCCGCCTTGAGGTATCCGTACGCGTACAGTCCCATGATCTTCAGCGTCACGCTCTTGATGCCGGCCTCTTCCCCCGGCTGCACCTCAAGCACCTCGATGCCGTGCCCGTGCAGTTCAACCCAGCGCATGTACATCCGCATCAACATCTCGGTCCAATCCTGCGACTCGGTACCGCCCGCACCCGGCTGCAGATGGATTATGGCGTTCGACGCATCCGTCTCACCGCATAGCAACGCCTCCAGTTCGAACCGTTCGCCTTCCTCAGTGAGCACGCGGGTTTCTCCCTCGACCTCCTGCAGAACGTCGAGGTCATCTTCCTCCACCGCTAGCTCCAATAGCCCGACGGCATCCTCCACCCGGTCCATCAACCCCTGCCAGCGCTGCGCGGGCGACTGGAGCAGGCCCCGTCGTTTCACAACCTCCTGGGCGCCCTCTATATCAGCCCAGAAATCCTCGCGGCTCATTTGGGCATCCAGAACCGCTATCTCCGCCTGTCGCTTGTCGAGATCAAAGATGACCTCGGAGCGCGTCAAGCGTGCCTTGCACATCGGCCAACTGTTGGCGCAATTCATCAACATTCATGGTTCGTATCCTTCTTCCATCTATGCCTTGTCAAAAAGGGCCGCCGTAAATTCGGCGACGTCGAACGGCCGTAAATCGTCCACCCCCTCACCGACACCGATGTAGCGGATTGGCAACTGAAATTCCTGAGCGACGTTGATGACAATGCCCCCCTTCGAGGTGCCGTCCAGCTTGGTCAGGACCAAGCCGGTAAGCCCAAGACTCTCGTGAAACTGCCGCACCTGGGCGATGCCGTTTTGCCCGGTGGTGGCATCCAGAACCAGCCAGATGTCATGCGGCGCATCGGGCAGAGCACGCCCGAGCACGCGCTGCATTTTCTTCAACTCTTCCATCAGCGGCGCCTTGGTGTGCAGACGCCCCGCGGTGTCGATCAGCACCCGGTCCATGTGCCGGGCAGAGGCGGCCTGAACCGCGTCAAAGGCAACGGCCGCGGCGTCGCCGCCCGGCTGGCCCTTGATGACATCGACACCGGCGCGCTCGCCCCAGATCGCCGCCTGCTCAATCGCCGCGGCGCGGAAGGTATCAGCCGCTACCAGCAGCGACTTGCCGCCTTGCTGGTGAAAATGATGCGCGAGCTTACCCAGGGTGGTGGTTTTGCCGACCCCATTCACCCCCACCATCATCAGCACCCACGGCTGCGGCTGGCCGATTGTCTCCGCCGCCGACGGCATCGCTCCGGCCATGATGCCGCGCAGAATGTCGATCACCCCGTCCCGCAGGCCGTCCCCCGCCTCAATCGTCTTGTCCTTCACGCGGGCGTTGACTTCTCGCAACACCTTGTCGGCAGTACGCGCCCCGAGATCGGCGAGAATCAAGGCCTCTTCCAGTTCTTCAAGGGTGTCGATGTCCAGCCGCTTGCGGCTGAAAACGGCTTCGAGACTCCCCATGAGGCTCTGCCGGGTCTTCTGCAATCCGCTACGCAAACGCTGAAAAAAACCGCTTCCCGCCACACGCCTCTCCACTCAAGCTGTAGGTCGGATCAGCGAAGCGTAATCCGACATTCCACCGCGCCTGCTGCGCAAGGTTGAAAATAAGGGAGGATCAGGGTCAGATGTCATGCTGGCGCAACAGCCTGAGAAGCTGCTCAGCCGCGTCTTGCCCGGCGGCTTTTTTGCTCGGGCCGATGCCGATGCAGTCATACTCGGGTGTCAGACTCAGCCGCACGTGAAACGTTTTTTGATGTGGGGGGCCTTCTTCGCGGACGGTCTGATAGGTCGGCACGCAGCCGAAAGCTCCGAGCCCCTTTTGCTGGAGGAGCCCTTTGTAATCCTGGCCCTGCGGCGAGGCCAAGCGCCGCTTGATGGCTTCGGCAAAGCAACTCAGGAAAGCCTCTTGGGCGCGCTGCAAGCCAGCGTCGAGATACAAGGCAGCAAGCACCGCCTCAAGCGCGGCAGCCAGCAAGGAGTCCTTCTGGCGTCCGCCTGAACTCTCTTCGCCCCGCCCGAGCAGCAGGAAGTCTCCCAGATCGATCTGACGCGCCAAGCCGGCCAAGCTGATCTCGCTCACCAGACGCGAGCGCATTTGCGACAGTTGGCCCTCATTGCAATGGGGATAACGTTCGTACAGGTAGGTACCCAGAATCAACCCCAGAACCGCATCACCCAGAAACTCCAGGGTCTCGTAATCACCTGTGTCCTCGGCTGCCTCAGCGGTGTACGAACGATGCGTCAGCGCACGGCCGAGCCGCTGGGAAACCGTAAAGCAATATCCCAAGCGCCGTTGAAACAAGGCCAGACGTTCCGCACGCCCGGGGGCGATCATATCGGCTCCGTATATTGCTTGAAGACCACGCACGCATTCGTTCCGCCAAAGCCCAGGGAGTTGGACATAGCCACCCTCACGGGCATCCTCCGCGCCTCGTTCGGAACGTAGTCGAGATCACAATCCGCGTCCAGATGCTCCCAGTTCCGGGTCGGCGGCACCACGCCGTGCCGCACGGCAAGTGCGGTGAAAACCCCTTCCACGCCGCCGGCGGCGCCCAGCAAATGACCGGTCATCGATTTCGTAGAACTCACGGCTAGACGGTAGGCATGGTCGCCGAAGACTTTCTTGATCGCCAGCGTCTCATACTTGTCGTTGTACGGCGTCGAGGTGCCGTGCGCGTTGACATAGGCAACCTCGTCCGTCCTCAGCCCGGCGTCGTCGAGTGCCCGCTGCATGCAGATGGCGACTCCCTTGGCTTCTGGATCGGGCTGCGTCATGTGGTAGGCATCGGCACTCATGCCATAGCCCACGACTTCAGCATAAATCGCCGCGCCCCGCTGCCGCGCCCGCTCCAGTTCTTCCAGCACCAGGATACCGGCGCCTTCGCCCAACACGAAGCCATCCCGCTGCTCGTCAAAAGGACGACTGGCACGGTCGGGCTCGTCGTTACGGGTAGAGAGGGCACGCATGGCGCAGAAGCCGCCAACCCCCAGCGGCGTAACAACGGACTCACAACCCCCGCTCAGCATCACGTCCGCGTCGCCGCGTTGAATGATTTTGAAGGAATCGCCGATGGCATGCGTGCCGGCCGCGCACGCCGTGGACACGCAGGAATTCGGGCCCCGCAGCCCGTAGCGCATGCAGACGTGCCCCGCCGCCATGTTGCCGATCAGCATGGGAATGAAGAAAGGGGAAACGCGCTGCGGACCAGTCCGCAACAGACTTTCATGGTTGCGTTCGAACGTCGCCATGCCACCGAGCCCTACGCCCAGCAGGCACCCGTAGCGCTGTGATTCGTCGGGCGCAAAGCGCATTTCGGCATCGGCCACCGCCATGTCCGCGCTGGCCAAGGCAAACTGCACGAAGCGATCCATGCGCTTCACTTCTTTTTTGTCGATGTAGTCGAGCGGCTGGAAATCTTCTTTCACCTCACCGGCAATCCGGCACGGAAACGCGCTGGCATCAAAACATTGGATCCCCCCGATGCCATTGTCGCCGCGCAGCGCGGCTTGCCAGGAGGTCGGGACATCCGTGCCAAGGGGGGTCACGGCTCCCAGACCCGTGATGACCACACGCCTCAACGTCCTGTTGTGCTCGTTGCTGTTCGCCATTCTGATGGCCGTCCTTACGTCAGCCCCCGACGCTCGCTCCGACGGCGACCCGGCTGACAGCTTGCACCACGTTCAGGACGTCTTTTTCGGAGGTTTTCTCGGTGATGTATCGGATGGCGTCGGCCACGGTGGTAATTTCTTCGGCGTCCTCGTCCGATATCTCAATGTCGAACTCTTCCTCAAAGGCCATGACCAATTCGACGGTGTCCAGCGAATCGGCCCCCAAATCATCGATGAATGACGCCGACTCGGTGACTTCTTTTTCATCCACACCGAGTTGCTCGGCGATAATCCCTTGCACCTTTGCCTCAACGCTCATGCGTTTTCTCCCCCATACGGATGGAATCAGATGGCCAAGCCACCACTTACCCGAATAACCTCCCCAGTAATATACTGCGCACCCTCGGAAGAAAGAAAGAGCACACACGCCGCAACGTCTTCCGGGTGCCGAAGCGCGCTGCCGGAATCTGCTGTAACACCGCCTGCCGTTGCGCGTCAGGCAGCACTTGCGTCATGTCGGTATCAATGAACCCCGGCGCCACCGCGTTGACCGTGACGTTACGCGGCGCCAACTCTTTGGCCAATGCCTTGGTGAACCCTACGATGCCGGCCTTGGAAGCCGCGTAATTGGTTTGGCCGGGGTTGCCCGTCAGCCCGGCGACCGAGGTGATGTTGATGATACGCCCGGAGCGCTGACGCAACATGGTTCGCGCCGCGGCGCGATTGCAGTTGAACGTCCCCGACAGATTGGTTTGCAGAACGATATCCCACTCCGCCAGTTTCATGCGCACCAGGAGTTGGTCGCGCGTGACACCGGCATTGCTCACCAACACATCGAGGCCGCCGAAATCGCTGCCGATCCGGTCAAAAGCCTGCGACGTGGCCTCAAAGTCAGCAATATCGAACTGATACACACGCCCTTCACCACCCATGTCTTTCAGGGCCGCTGCCACCTCCTCGGCCGCCTGATGCTGCTGCGTGCAGGTAACGGCGACGCGCGCGCCGGCACCGCCCAAGGCCAGCGCGATGGCGCGTCCGATACCGCGCGAGCCACCTGTTACAACGGCTACTTTACCCTGCAATTCCGTCATAGATTTCCGCTCAGCCAACCGCCGCTTCCGACACGGCCATCACTTCGACTTGCGGCGCGATGCGCCCCATCATGCCGCCGAGCACTTTGCCCGGACCCACTTCGAGCAGCGCATCGCAGCCTTGCGAGACCGCATAACGCATTGATTCTTCCCAACGTACCGGCGCGCAGACCTGCTCGACCAGAAGCCCCTTCACGGCGTCGGGAGACGGATGCGGGGCCGCCGTGACGTTGGATATGACGGGATACTCAAACGCCCCGCAGGCCACAGGCGCCAGAACATCAGCCAAGCACCCGGCTGCCGGCGCCAGCATTCGGCAGTGAAACGGCGCACTCACCTTCAAGGGAATCGCGCGGCCCAAGCGCCGCGACTTGACGGCAACCGTGGCCGCCTTGACGCAGTTCGTCTCGCCGGCAATGACGGTCTGACCCGGATCGTTGTAGTTCGCCGCCTGCAGAACACCGCCACTACCGAACTCGGCACACAGCGCGTCCACGTCCTGCCGTGCCACGCCGAGGAGGGCCGCCATGCTCCCGGCGCCCGGCGGCACCGCTTGCTGCATGAACAAACCCCGCTTGTGCACCGTGCGCACCGCATCGGCAAACGTCAGCACACCGGCCGCCACCAGCGCCGAGTATTCGCCCAGGCTGTGCCCGGCCAGCAACGCGGGTTTCAGCCCCCCCTTTACCACTTGGGCCCATGTCGCCACGCTGTGCACCAGAATGGCGGGCTGGGTGTTCTGCGTCAGCCGCAACTCGTCTTCCGGCCCCTCAAAGCACAGGCGTTGCAGATCGTAGCCCAAAACCTCGTTGGCCTCCTCGTACAGGGCCCACACTTCGGCATCGGCCTCACAGAGGTCCTTGCCCATGCCGACGAATTGTGAACCTTGACCCGGGAAAACGCAGATGATGCGCCTGGCCATAATAGCGTGACCCTCTTGTTGCAGCCCGGAGAAAAAACGGCGCGAGGCGGCTAAGGTTCGGACGTGACCTCCTCGTCCTCTTCCTCACGCTCGCCGCGGAATGACATGGTGCTGCGGATGTGGCGCCAGATGTTGCGGCCGCGGGCGCCGCTGGCATCCTGAATGTCGCTGTTGCGTTCGACCTCTTCCTGAATGCGCTCCGTGACCCGTTCTTCGAGGAAGCGCTGCGCCATGTGGATGGCGTTCTTGACGGCCTTGGGGGTCGAGTTGCCGTGACCGATGATACACGTGCCATTAACGCCAAGAAGCGGCGCGCCGCCATATTCGGAAGCATCCACACGGCGGCGAATATCCTGCAAGGCGGGGCGCAACAACGTCGCCGCCAGACGCCGCCACGGCGTTCGCGTCAAGGCTGTCTTGAGGGCCTGCCCGTACATCTCGGCAACTCCCTCACACATCTTCAGCGCCACGTTGCCGATGAATCCGTCGCACACCACCACGTCAGCGACACCGTGGAAAAAGGGTTTACCCTCAATGTTGCCGATGAAATTGAGGTCGCTCTGCTTCAGCATAAGAAAGGCTTCTCGGGTCACGTCATTGCCCTTGGTGTCCTCCTCGCCGATCGCCAACAGGCCGACGGCGGGGTATGGCTTATCCAGAATGCACTTGGCAAAAACGTCCCCCATGATCCCGAACTGGAAGAGCTGGGTCGACTTGCAATCCACGTTGGCACCAACGTCAAGAAGAATCGAAGCGCCCTTTTGAGTGGGCAAAAGCGTCGCAATAGCCGGACGGTCAATACCACGTAGAGGCCGCAGGATCATCGTCGCCGCGCCCAGGGCGGCACCGGTGTTGCCGGCGCTGACGACCGCCTGCGCTTCGCCGCTTCGCACCAATTCCATGGCCACGCGGATGGAGGAAAACCGTTTCTTGCGCAGTGCCATGACCGGCGCCTCGTCCATGTGCACGACTTCCGAGGCGTGACAGATGGTGATGGGCAGCGCGTGAGCCTGTAAGCGGTCCAATTCGCGCTCCAGCCGCCCTTCGTCGCCCACCAATGTAATGCTGGTGTTGTGCTGTTGCGCAGCAAGAACAGCACCTTCGACTATCGCCTGCGGGGCGAAGTCTCCACCCATGCCGTCGACCGCGATTTTCATTGATCATGACACCTTGCAAGGGCAGGCGCCGAGAACTTGAACCCGCTCGCCTTCCCCGCAGCCAGGGTCCTATTGTGCGGCAATGATCTCGCGTTCTTTATAGAACCCGCAACTTGGGCAAATGCGATGGGGAAGCTGCGCCGCGCCGCATTGAGGGCAGGTGCTCAAGCTCGGCACGTGCAAGCGTTGATGATTGCGCCGCTTGTCACGACGCGACCTTGATGTCTTGCGTTTTGGCACACCCATTGGGATACATCCTTATAATGGCTTGGAAAATGAAAGGTTTTTCAGCAGGGTAAACCTCGGATCGCCGCTCTCGGTGCGGCACGCACACGACGCTTCGTTGAGATTGCCCCCACAGATCTGGCAGAGCCCTGCACAATCAGGACGACACAAAGGCTGAACGGGGAAGGCGAGAACAACCTGATCGTAGACCGGGGGCGCCAAGTCAAGCTTCATTCCGTCATGCACGTAAATGTCGGATTCGTCTTCCAGACCTACCGCCTCGGCGTCTTCATGGGGGTCAGCAGCGCTCGGCGGAAGGAACATAACCTGCGTCTCAACCTCAAAATCGTGCGCCGCCGACTCCACGCAACGGCTGCACGGCGCGCTCATCGTACCGGAGATCGCGCCCTGAAAATAAACCTGCTCGGCAACCCGAGTCAGGCGCCCGAGAATGCGCACCGGAATCGGGAAGGTAACCTCCGCCGCCTGTGGCAAGCGCAACTCCTCCGCGCCGACCTCCACGTCCAGCGGCAACCCTCCATCCGGAATACGAGGAATATCCACCGCCAAAGCGACGACACTACCCTGTTGTGACAGCGCCACGGGCTCTGCCCTCATCTCTACAAGTTATTGTATATCAACAGGATAAGAAGAAGTGCGGGCTGTTGAGTTAGTGGCGCCCATTATAGCGACGCCCCAAAACCTTTGTCAAGGAAGCGTTAACCCACAAAATATAGATAGTTACAAGGACAAGAATCCCTTTTTCCGGTACTGAATCGGAGCCGCCTGGAAAGGCCGAAACGCGCGCGGCGCAAACCTGCCGGCAGCCACCGGATCAAGCCTCCGGCGCCTTGAATTGCCGCATGCCAGTTCGTATAGTGGGTGCCTTCGTTTACAGGGTCCACAACACGGCATAGCGAGGGAACGGCATGCTTATCGAAATTAAACGAGACAAACCCGAGGCGGTGGCGGCGGACGTGTTGGCAGTGCCACTCTGGCAGGGTGCAACAGTGGGGACGAGGGGTGCGACGGCTCAGCTTGACGCGCGTCTTGAGGGGCTGATCGGCGACTATATCGAGAGCGGCGATTTCAAGGGCACGCTGAACAGCACGGCGCTGCTTCGCACACGCGGCATGATAGCGGCACCGCGCGTCCTGCTGATAGGTCTGGGTGAGAAGTCGCAGCCGCGCGAGTTGGAGCATCTGCGTCAGGCAAGCGCCAGCGCCGCAACCACGACCCGCAAGCTAGGCGCCGCCAGCCTCGCGGTATTGCCACCCGCCATATCTGCCACTGCCTCCGAGCTTGCACAGGCCGTTACGGAAGGCGCCCTCCTGGGTCTATATACATTAAAGAAATACAAAACAGTGGATGACGAGGCCAGCCAGAACGCCCTGGAGCAACTGATCCTCCTGGCCACCAGCGCATCGGCCCAAAAGGAATTACAACGCGGCGCCGAGCGGGGCCAGGTGATTGCCGAGGCCGTCTCCCTGGCCCGCGACCTGGGCAACAGCCCGGGCAACGACATCAATCCTTCCTACTTGGCGACTACCGCCCAGACCCTGGCGGAAACTACGTCGCTGGGCTGCCGGCTCCTGGACCCGTCGGAAATGGAAGAACTGAACATGGGCTGCCTGCTGGGGGTCGCACAGGGCAGTGCGCAACCGCCGGCCTTTATCATCCTGGAACACACGCCCCGGGGTGCCAACGGCACACCGATCGTGCTGGTTGGCAAGGGGCTGACCTTCGACAGCGGCGGCATTTCGATCAAGCCGGCGGGCGGCATGGAAGACATGAAGATGGACATGTCGGGCGGTGCCGCGGTGCTCGGAACCATGCAGGCGCTGGCACGCCTAAATTATCCCCGCCGTGTGGTGGGTCTGGTCCCCGCTTCGGAAAATCTGCCGAGCGGCACAGCCGTTAAACCCGGCGACATTCTGCGCGCCATGTCGGGCAAAACCGTCGAGGTGATCAACACCGACGCCGAGGGCCGTTTGATTCTCGCCGATGCCTTGGCGTATGCCGTGGAAAAATACAAGCCCGCCTGCATCATTGATCTGGCCACCTTGACCGGTGCCGTGGTGGTCGCCCTGGGCAGCCAAGCCACCGGCATGATGGGTACCGACGACGACATGATGACGCGGCTGCGCGAAGCGGGTGAGCGCTGCGCGGAACGGGTCTGGCAACTGCCCCTGTTCGACGAATACAGCAAACAGATCAAAAGCGACTTCGCGGACATCAAGAACACCGGCAGCGGACGCGAGGCCGGCTCAATCATCGGCGGCGCCTTCCTCAAGGAGTTCGTCGGCGACACCCCCTGGGTGCATCTCGACATCGCCGGCATGGCCTGGACGCGCGAGGGCAAGCCGTACGTGCCCAAAGGATCAACCGGCTGGGGCATCCGCCTGCTGCTGGAAACCCTGGAGAGCATGCCGGCACCGGATGCCAAGGCCAGGGCTAAGTCGAGAGCCAAAGCCAAGGCAAGCTGAGCAATCCCTAACCGCCCCGCAACTCACCGTTGGTTACCCGGTGAATTGAACCGCCGAGACATGCGCTTCGGCGCGGTCGCGATCCTCCTCGTACTGGTACTGTGGCGTATCATAGCGCGGACGCCGGTCATCCGGCCCGCGTTGCGCGGTTTCCTGCCACGACCGGTCATCCGACCACTTGAAGGGAAGCGTTTTCACCGACCCCGGAGCAGCGAGATCGCTGAATCCTGCAAGCGCTTCAAGCAGAATCTCCCGCTGCAGGGCCGGTTGGTGCGGTTTGCCGGTGGTGTGCCCCAGCGGGTAATCGAGGAAGGCGGCGCGCGGCGGATTCACCGCCTGCGTGATATCCAGCGCGCTGGTCATGCACAGGGTCGAGATCCCTACGGCCTCAGCGTGGCGGGCGAGCAGTCCGACGGACTGATGGCACACGGGTCAGGCCGGCACGAACAGGACGGCATCGACCTCTTCAGCCAACAGGCACTCGGTGACGCCCGGCGCCAGCTCTTCCCGCACGCGCCGGGACGAGTAGATGCCGCCCATGAAGGTGTAAGCGTTCGCGGCCAAGCTGCCAATAACGCCCTCGCCAACCAGCCCGCGCAGCGTGTCGATGGGGAACACGACGTTCGGATCCTGACGGGCATCGGTCAGGTCATAGGCAAAATGCGTCGCCCGCAACTCGCTGGTCGGCACGTCCATCGGAATCGACAGCAGAGACGTATCGTCGCGGTAGTGGAACGCCACCTGACCGCTGACGTAGATGCCGCCCGAGGCGACCAAACCCAACCGACACTCGGACAGCGGCTTCGGCAAAGGATGCCACGACGGGGTGTCTGCACTGAACACCCATTGATAGGTGCCATAGCCCAGCGATTCGTATTTTTCCCGGATGCGTTCTATATATTCGACAGGCATGTCGTCCTCCCGGTCCCTTACTTCGATTCCAGACAGCGCTCTTGCCGTCTGCTCATGAAAAATCCCTGTTCGGCCGCCAGCGCCAGCGCCTTCTGAGGCTGCACGACGCGCGGCCCGGCGGCCCGCAGACACGCCACGATGCAGTCCTGCGGCCGCATCACGATCTCCCGTTCGCCGTCCAGAGCGATGGTCCCCCTCCCCGCCGGCAACTCCACGCGCTCATCGAAGTCGAGGTGCGCGTAACGCCGCACGCCGACGGGCTGGATCAGACCGGGCGCGATCGGCGCCAGAACCGGCGGCGCCTGGGGGTCGGTCTCAATGACCATGCCGCCGCACCGGGGCGGACCCGGCTGCGGCAGGTTGCCCGCCAGCGCCATGAAGCCGATCTGTGCCGCCACGCGCTGGGTCACAATAACCATGCGAACCTTGTTCATGTCCCACACGGCGCGCGAGGCGACGTAGAGATCGTCGCACACCACGGCGTCGATCAGAGCGATGTCCGCCGCCTCGCCGTTGATTTCCACCTCCAGACAGGGGCGCTGCTCGACCGCCTCGGAAACCGCCACCACGCCGCTCGCTACCAGGCCCGCCGCCAGACCTGCCAGGGTGCCTTCGAGCATGTACGGAAACACGTTGTTGGTGCCGGTGGACAGCGGTAGGAGCGGAACCGAGCCGCACGCCTTGGCGAGCGCACGGTTGGTGCCGTCGCCGCCAAGGCTGACCAGACAATCGACGCCGAGGTCCCGCATGCGCCCGGCGGCCCGTGTCGTGTCCGCTTGGGTGTCGTCAACCGGCATGTCGAGTTGCTGCACCTCGGCGCTCAGCTTGAGGTTGTCCTGGGCTTTGCCGCAAATGTTGAAGGTGTCGGGCATGGTGACGATGCGGTCCACCCCCACCGCGTCCAAACCGAGCATGACGCGCCGTACGATGTTCACCTTCTCGTTGTTGTTGAACACCGATCCGTGGGCGACCAGACGGCGGATGTCCTTTCCCGAAGCCGGATTGGCAATGATGCCGACGCAAGCCACAATGTCCCCTTCCCAGGCTGTCCCGGTATTAAACGTGCAGTTCGATCACATCCTCTTCCTGCACCACGTAGTCGCGCTGCACCATCTGCCCGTCGTACTTTTCCTTGCCCCAGATGCGCGCGAACTTGAACCGCACCGCGAAATCCTTGTGCACCGTGGCGGCGACGTCCGACACCGTGCTGCCGCGCGGTAGGGTGAACGGCGCCGTGAGGTCCGGCTTCTTGCCCGGCGCCTTGGTGTACACCCGAATCTTATCCAGCAAGGCGTACAACGCGGCGCGCAATTCCTCAAGGTTGTACCCGTCAAAAACCGATACCGCCAACCGCGGCCAGCGCTCGCCGTATAGCTCCTCGACCATCGCCCAGGAATCCTCGCCGTCCGGGCTGTCGTATTTCGTCCCCAGCAGCATCGTTGGCCGTTCCACTACGCCGACCGGCAGGTCGTCCGGGTCTGATAACATACCGGGAGCGACCGGCAACACCTTCCACTCAGCCAGGGTAGCGCAGGCGAACTCGATCGCCTCAAGTGCCTCGGCGTCGCTCAGATCCACGACCAGGAGCAAGGCGTCCGCATTGCGCACGATCTGTTGCAGCCACGATTCCATGTAATCGCGGGAAATGGGCGGCAGATCGACGAGCTGGATCTGAACGTTCTCGTAGACCACCATGCCGGGAATGGGCTTGCGGGTCGCGAACGGGTAATCGGCGACCTCCGTAACAGCCTTGGAAAGCGCCCCCACCAGCGCGGATTTGCCGGCGTTCGGAAGTCCCAGCAGGGCGATCTGCCCGGCGCCCTCCTTCACCACTGACGGGCCGGCGGCCCGCCGCGCGCCTCCCGATTTCTGAGCCTCCTGACGTAGCTTGGACAAGCGTCGCTTCAGGTCGGCCTGGAGCTTGTCCGTCCCCTTGTGCTTGGGAATAACCCGCAGCATCTCCTCCAGGCAAGCCACCTTCTCTTGGTGCGCGGCAGCCTGCTTGAAGCGCTGTTCGGCTTCCATGTATTGCGGTGTGAGGTTGGCGGGCATACGTCGTCCTCCGTCTCGGCAACGAAATCACCATCCGCCCCACGCGGCGGCATGGGTCGCGGCGGGCCAGCCACTATACACAATCCGCCGCGGGCGGATCAATCGGCCTCACCCACGACTCGACGGCGAACCCTTTGAGGTAGCTCGTTTCGGGGATGGCCATGACCTCCGGATGGTGCGCCGCCTGGCCCAGACGCTGCCGCACGATGAGCTGCCGGCGGGCATCCCGGGCAGCCTCCTGCACCATCGCCTCGAAGCGTTCCCGCGAGATGTGGTGCGAGCACGAAAAGGTCAGCAGAACGCCCCCCTGGCGCAGCAGCTTGAGGGCCTGCAGGTTGATTTCCTTGTAGCCGTCGAGGGCTTTGTCAACGGCGCCGCGCTGATGGGTGAAGGCGGGCGGGTCGAGCACCACGACGTCGAACCGCCGTCCCTGCCGCTGCAGGTGCCTCAGGCGGTTGAACACGTTGCCGCTCTCGAACTGGCAGCGGTCACCGAGGCCATTCAATTCGGCATTACGCCGCGCCTGTTCCAGGGTCGGCGTCGAGCTGTCCACGCCCAGCACCTCCCCTGCTCCGGCCGCCGCGGCGTGCAGGCTGAAGGCGCCGGTGTAGCAGAAGGCGTCCAGCACCGTGCCAGCGGTGGGAGCGAGAGCGCCCAAGGCGAGGTAGTTATCGGCCTGATCCAGGTAGAACCCCGTCTTATGCCCGCCGGCCACGTCGACTTCGAGGGTCACCTGATGCATCTCTATGGACACGGTGGTCTCGAACGGCGCCGCGACAAACCCCTTGCCCAACTCCAAGCCGTCGAGGCGCCGCGGCGCCAGATCGTTGCGCGCATAGAGGCGATCGAGGCCGGTCAGTTCCTGCAACAATCGCTCGATGGTTTCCCGGCGCCGGTCAAGGCCCATCGAAGCATATTGCAGCACCAAAGCTGGCCCGTAGCGGTCCACCGTCAGCCCCGGCAGTCCGTCCCCTTCAGAGTGCACCAGCCGCAAACTGGTCGCCTCCGGGTACAGCCGCCGTCGGCGCCCCAAGGCGGTCACAAGGCGTCGGCGCAGCAGCGCGTCGTCAATATCCTCGGCAATGTGGCGGGTGAGCACCCGCAGGCGAATCTTGGAGCGGCTGTTGAAGTAGCCGCGCCCAAGGAACACGTCATCGTGGCTGTGGCAGTCCGCCACCCCGCCGTCGCGCGGCGTGCCTTTGACGCGGGCAATTTCACCCTCATAGACCCACGGGTGGCCTTGCAATTGGCGCTGTTCGCGGCCTTTGCGCAGAATCAGACGTGGCTGCGGCATACTGACGCTTCCCTTCGCCGCCCTGTCGGGGGCATGATGTGGCGTTCCATTCGAGGATTATGATTGAGGGTATCGGCCCTGGACGCGCTTGACACGTCCGGGGCGAGTTGCTAGATTTTGCCTCCTTGTGATACCACGAAGACAACTTGGTTCCGGGGCCTGTAGCTCAGATGGTTAGAGCGCACGCCTGATAAGCGTGAGGTCGGTAGTTCGACTCTACCCAGGCCCATCCCCCCTGTATCATTCTTGCTTGACCCTTCCCTTCTGTTGGGGAATTAGCTCAGTTGGGAGAGCGCCGCCCTTGCAAGGCGGAGGTCGCGGGTTCGAATCCCGCATTCTCCATTTCTCTTTTTTCGTATAACGTATTGAAAGATCACGTACTTGCCTCATCACCCCCAACCGGTGCCCTACCCTCGGGCACTCCTGGGGTACTCCGAACGACATCCGCCATGCTCTGCACCAGCTTTTTCTGACGCTCCAACTGGGCCTGCACATACCGTTGCATCGTCAGCATCGGCGTCGCGTGACGCATGAGTTCCTGTGTTTCCTTGGGACTCGCCCCGAGCGAGTCCAACAAGGTGCCGTAGGTCCCTCGCCAGGATGAAACACCGCCACGCCCTGCTCGTTGGCCTTCTCGATTCCCGCCGCCTGCAGGTCCCTATCGAAGACGCGCGTCAACTGCGGTTGCGACGGCACGCGCATCAGCGGGCTGGAAGGGAACTCCGTCGCCCGCGCCAGCTTGGCAACGAGGTGGGCCGGCAGGGGTTGGAATCCGGCGCGGTGGTTTTTCGTCCACTCGGCTTCCAGCCGCACACCGCCGCGGTCGAGGTCGAGGTGTGCCCCTCTCAGATGCCTCAACTCCCCGCGCCGCAGACCGGAAAAAAGCGCCATCTCGTACAAAAGCCGGCGTTCGGGCAACGCGACCGCCAGGATGGCCGCAATGTCCGCCAGCGTCAGGACGCGCCGACGGGTACGGGGCGTGCCATCGAATTTGCGCAGGCGGGCCGGCGGATCGCTGGGCAGGTAGCCGCGGTCGATGCACCAGCGGCAAAACGATTGCAGCGACCCCTGGTAATTTCGCAGGGTCTTGCTGGTTCGGCCGCGGTCGCGCAGCCGGACGAGTGCGGTTTCGACGGGCCGCAAGGGGTTCGTCAGATCCTCAAGCGTTTTGAATCCGATTTGCTCGTGCCACCAGGCGAGCCGGGCGCGTTGGTTACGGGCGTGGGTACGGCCCCAAGGCCGACCGCCGCGGCCGCCTTGGGATTCCCCGTACGCCAGGTAGTCCTGCACGGTGTCCACAAAATCCCGCCAGGGCTCCCGGTCCTCTGGCGCCGGAATCAGACCCGCGGCGATGCGGTCTTCCTGCACTTGGCGTTCGTGGGCGAGGGGCAGGGTTTCCCGGCGGCTGTGCGTGCCGGTGAATTTCAGAGTCTTGCGGCGTCCGTCCGAGCCGGTCAGGTGGCTTTTGTGCCACGCCCGCCATTTGCCGTCTTTGGTCTTGGTTCTAAGAATCCCTGGCATGGGGCTCCAATCGTATCGGCGAAGCGCCTCATTTGAGGGGTGTCAAGTGACCCGGCGACGGGTCCGGCCGGGCATCCTGGGTGCGTTCACCGCCACCTTGTTGAGCATCCTGCATGCGCTGCTGCAAGAATACATCAACGTCTCCGGCGCGCCAGCAGTTTTCGGAGAAAATGCGGAATGGCTTCGGCAGTCGTCCTTCACCGACCGCTCGCATGATGGTGTTCGGAGACTTGCCGAATATCTGCACCATGCCGTTTACGGTGAGCAGGGTCCTGGGCGGCAGCTTCGCCAACTCCACGATAATGCCGAGGGCATCGGTGTGCTCGTCCTGCCCACCAGCCTGCTCCGCCCTTACCTCTCGTGTCATGATCTCACTCAGTGATGTTACGCACTGTTTGAGTCATTGAGTCAAGAAGTGGATGAGAGACTATGAACAGAGAACTCGTAGACCTCTACAGCGATTACCTCTTGAGTTCCCCCGTTCAAACCGGGGGCAGGCTCTTCGGCGCAACCACCGCAACGGGTCTGTCAGACCTACTCGAAGGTTCCCTCAGCCATGACCAGATAACCCGCGCAATCTACCAGAAACGGTGGAACGTGGAGACCTATCACAAGACGCTCAAGAGCCATGCAGCGCTAGCCAAATCGCCGACCCGAACGGTACGGACGCAGAGCAATCATTGTTTCCCTGAATCAAGTTCAGGGCAGGCTCTGGCGATCTACGCCGCGTGCCGCTTGACATGGCTCAGTGTGACCCATGGGCTCAATCACGTTGCCCTGCGGACACGGCTCTATCTCAAGGCCGTGCGTCATGCTTTTGATGAACTCCAACTCCTCAAGGCTACGTAACATCACTCACAAAATTGAATTACGCAACCCCCCCGTTCGGAGGAGATGAGGGACGCATGGAGTCCCAATGGCGGGGTGGAAAAGCGGTTCGCTTTGACTCGGATGGCTCAGGAAGGCGTCATCGCAAGGTTTGCACCTGGAATTACGCTAAAGAGGTGAACTGGCCATGCGGTTTCAGCGCGGCGCCTTGGCGGAGTTGCTCGGCCCGTTGCTGACGTTCGACTCGTCTCATCACGCCAACATTGTAGGCCCGACCGATATCTCCTCGCCGGATGAGGCCAAGCAACCGTCGGGGATTCCCAAAGTCCACCACCGGCAACCGGCTCAGGTCACGAGGGGCCATCCGCTCGATGGCAAGGGACACCGGGTCATTCGGGGAGACCGTGACGACACGCGTCGTCGCAATATCGCCTGCGGTGATCTGATCAATGGCTTCCGTTTCCATGGCCCGTTCCAAGTCCCGAATGCTGACAATGCCATAGAGGTTTCCCTCGGGGCCCAGCACGGGGAAACTGTGATGATGCGTGCGCTCAAATTCCCGGGCAAGGGCGGGGAGAGACAGTGTCGAAACCACGCTGTCCGCCTGCGTGTCCATCACCTCACTGACGCGGACGGTCTGCATCACGTCTTCGTCGCGTCCCTGGGACAGTCGCACGCCCCGGCGACGCAATTTGAGCGTATAAATCGAGTCGGCAAACATGCGTTCCGCCACAAACGTGCTAATAACCGTTGCCAACATCAGCGGCAAGATAATGCGATAGTCATCGGTCATTTCGAAAAGGATGAGAATCGCCGACATCGGTGCCCGAGCTGCGGCGGCAAACACGGCCGCCATTCCGACCAAGGCATAGGCGCCTGAGGGCGCGGTGAACGCCGGCCACCAGGTGTGGGCCACGGCGCCAAAACTCCCGCCTAGCATGGCGCCCAGAAACAGCGAGGGGGCAAACACGCCGCCGGAACCGCCCGACCCGATGGGTGCATGACGTGGCAATCATTTTGATGACCACGAGCGTCGCCATGAGCGCCAGCGGCATGGTATTGTGCAGCGCTTGCTCGATGGCGTCATGCCCCACGCCAAGCACTTGGGGATATGCAAAGCCAATCATCCCGATGAGGAGATCACCCGCCATCGGCTTGAGAGGTTCTGGAAATTTCCAGGCATCGAAGACATCTTCACTGAAGTAGAGCACCCGCACAAAGACGACGCCCACCACCGCTGCCACCACCCCGAGCACCGCATACAAAGGGAGTTCCCAGGCGCTGACCAGCGTATACGGCGTCACCGCAAAGGCGGGGAGGTTCCCGTGGATGATACGGGCTATCTGGTTGGCGGTGACGGAGGCAATGACCACCGTGCTGAGTGAAGTGGTGCTGAAATCTCCGAGAATCACCTCCAAGGCGAAGATAACCCCGGCAATTGGCGCATTGTTGGCGCATTGAAGGTAGCGGCGATTCCCCCGGCAGCGCCACACGCCACCAAGTTCCTCAGCCTGTCGTCGGACCATCGCAGCCATTGCCCGACCGGCGAGCCGAGCGCTGAGCCAATCTGAACAATCGGACCTTCCCGCCCGAGCCAATGCAGATGGAAGAGGCCAGTGACTTGATGATCACGACGATGGGTCGAATCCGGCCACCCCGCAGCGCCACCGCTTCCATCACTTCCGGGACTCCATGTCCTTTGGCCTCCCGCGCGAAGAACGCGAAGAAATAGACCAGGGGGCCGACGATAAACCCTCCCAACGCTGGAATGATAATGACGTAGTAGGGACCAAAAAGGCGAGAAATCAACCACTTTGGTGGAAGGCAAGGTCGGTAACGGCGTCCACCAGCCAGCTGAAGCCTACGGCCCCAAAGCCGGCGCCAGCCCCGACGAGGCCGGCCATGCCAAGTATGGCCACATGAGGCGACAGACGCATGGATACCATTGACGCACGAGGCAAGTTCTCCATAGGTTCGATCGGCGCCAAAGGCGTCCGCGACGTTTACAGCGCTCTCCATGAGGGAGAGTGGCAAAAAATGGGGGCATTCAGGCAGGGGAGAGTTCAGTGCTGAGCTCCATCAGTCGGACCTTCGGTTGAACAATGCTCGTGGATATTTACGGGCCCAACCCTCCTCAACTTATGCCATCACCCGCACAAATGTTGGAGATGGCCCCCACTTTCTGGTACTTTCTTCCTCCAGTTGACACACCCTTGGACAATTCATATTGATGGATCGAATAGTCTACGGTCTTTTTGCTGAAAGGAGTATGTGTATGAGTGGTCAAGAAGCAGGGTTCAACAACGAACTCAAGCAACAAATCGCAGATTTCCAAAGGGAAATGCTGCCAAAGATGCCGCCGGATGTTATTGAGGTGCTGGTCCGCACCACAGAGGATCAAGTGAAATCCGGCATAACGGCCAAGGCCCTGAAAGTCGGCGACAAGGCACCTGACTTCACCCTGCCCAACGTCCGCGGGGAGGCGGTGACGCTTTCAAATCTCCTGGCCAAAGGACCGGCCGTCATTACCTTTTATCGAGGCGCGTGGTGACCCTACTGCAACCTGCAGTTGCAGGCCTATCAAAAACACCTCGCTGAGATGCAAGCGCACGGCGCGTCCTTGATCGCCATCTCTCCCCAAACCCCGGATAACTCTCTGACTGTTGCTGAAAAGCATGGCCTTCAATTTGAGGTTCTCAGTGACGCGGGCAACGCCGTGGCTCGACAATTCGGGCTGGCCTTCCGATTTGTTGATGAGTTGCAAGATGTGTTTGAAAAAATGGGGATTCAGCTCCCCAAATACAATGGCGATGACGCTTGGGAGCTGCCGATACCCGGTACCTATGTCCTTGGCCAGGACGGGACCATTATGCTGGCCCATGTGGATGCGAACTATACCACCCGGCTTGAACCAGGCGATATTCTTGAGAGTTTGCAAGGGCTGAATTAGCTGAATTGAACGGTTGCCAGCTGAATGAGAGCTTCATCATAGCCCCATGAACGTCACCCATCTCTCTTGTTGGCCTCGCCCGTCCGGTCCTGCATGGTGACGGGATGCGCCAGAAGCCCCTGAAGTGCCGTCAGCGCATTGCCGGGTTTTACCGCATGGCATGCGCCCGCCGGCCCCGAGCCCGACAGGCGCATCGGCGGCTTACGCCTCGTAGATGGCCTTCAGTTCCCTTTCGGCCGATTCAATGACGCTCTGGGTCGAGTCGCCCCGTACCGCCTTGGCGAACAGGTCGACGATGATGTACTTGGCGGCTGCCTCGGAAGACTGGCGGTTGTACGGCCCGGCGTATCCGTGGTTGCGCCCGTACTGCGGCAGCTCGCGGTAGATGGTGACGGCCGGGTCCTCCTCCCACATCGGGTGTTCCTGCCACTTGGGCAGCGGGCCGTTGACGTAGCCCTTGTTGATGACCAGGAACTTCTCGAAGTTGTCGTCCTGGTGGACGAAGCGGATGTAATCGCGCGCCGCCTCCTTGTTGGGCGAGTAGCGGGCGATGCAATTGGAGGCCGGTCCGACGTCGTGATAGCGTCCGCCCGGGCCTTCGGGAATCAGGAAGTGGCCCAGCCGGTCGGCGAAACCGGGGGCGACCTTGCGGGGGTCGTTGCGGGCGACAAAATAAATGCTGGCGCCGTTCAGGGTGACGGCGATGGTTTCCGCCAGGAAGGCGCGGTTGTTGCTGGTGCCGTCCCACGCCAAGCCGCCTTCGTCGCAGGCGGCGGACCAGAACTCCTTGAGGAAATCAACCGCGTTGGCCGTCTCCCGGCTATTCAGGGCTACCCGCCCGTCCTCGTCCCACTTCCTTACCGCCGAAGCACCACAACAGGGTATAGGCGAAACCGGGGGCGTCCCCAAAGGTGTGAGCGAGGCTTTGCCCGACCGGCATGCCGATGTGTTTCAACTTCTTGCCGGCTTCCAGGTACTCGTCCCAGGTTTCGGGCGGACGGGCAATGCCGACTTCCTCGAAGATGTCCTTGCGGTAAACGTTGGCGCCGCCGCCGAAAAAGTTGGGCACGCCGCGATGCACGCCCTTCACGTCGCGCACGGCCTCTCGGATGAACGGGTAAATCTCGTCGCCGCCGAGCTCTGCGATGAGGTCGTCGTGGTCATCGAGCCCCGCCGCGTAAAGCAGCGGGTAGTTGCCGAACAACTGGATGATATCCGGGCCCGTGCCGCCCTCGATCGCCGCCGTCGCCCTGGCCGGCAAGTCGTTGGCGTTGATGTGCTCGATGGTCACCCTCACGCCCGCCTGCTTACCGAATTCTTCGGCCTGGCGGTCCCGCTCAACGTCGGCCCGGCGCGACGAAACTGCTCCACTCCAGGACGTGCAGCGTCCGCTCCTGCGCAAAAGCCGGTGCCCGGCCCGCCAGCCATTTCATACCGGCGACGGCCGCCAATGCGGCTCCGGCCTTGCCGGTATAGCTCAGAAAATCCCGCCGCCGCATCCGCCCGGGGATCGATTCACCCCGTTGCCGCCCTGCTTCGTGTGTCATGACGTGCCTCCATAAGGCGCGCTCGCGCCTGACCTGCCGTGTATGCCCATTGCCATCGGTGAGCGGTCTCAATATTGTGTTTTCTCCTGTGCTATCAAGTCGATGCACGTTCCTGGAGCAGGGTAAGCGCAGATTGATACGCCACCGAGCCGTGCAGGGTGTCGAAGACGTCTTCGGCCTTGGCCAGAACGTCGATGACGATGAGGCGGTAGCGACCGCTGGTGATGTATCGCCGCAGTTCGTCCAGGCCGCCGTCGTTGAGCAAGGGAAAATTGTAGAGCAGCTGCAGCTGGCCGTTGGTCCTGATGCCGAGCCGGATCTCATGCAGGCGCCGTTGGATGCGGCCCCTGCTGTCTTCGAGGGCCATGTAGAGCACTGGCTGCGGCTCCGGAACTGTAAAGTGCCCCCTGACGCGTCTGTCGGTGGCCACCGACAGGGCGAGGTCGAGCATGAGCCAGGACTTACCGCGTTTGCCCTTGCCGCCAAAGAGAAGCATGCCCTCGTGCAGCAGGCCATCGACGATCGGCTTGGGGGACGGGATGGTGTTGGATGGTAAGGGGATAGAGGGCGGTCTTGCACCAGGCCCAGTAACGACGCGGGATTCTTGCTTTTTTCACGAATCTGACGATAGCGGTCCCGGCAGGGCCGGGTTCGAATCCCGCATTCTCCATTCCCCCGGCCTCACACCATCCCAGGTTTGACGCGCTACGCAATGACGCCCGCTGCCATAAGCCTGCCGAGTTCCGATTCCGAGAGCCCCAGGAGCCCGCGAAACACCTCCGCGTTTGCCTCGCCCATCGGCCCCACAGGCCTTTGAATCCGGCCCGGCGTGGCGTGCAGCCGCACCGACATGCCGGCGTGCTCGAGCGTGCCGAGGTCGTGATGCGCCATCATCACCGGGTAATCCCGCGCCCGCAGATGCACGTCTCGCCATAGGTCCTCAGACGTCTGCATGACGCCGGCCGGCACCCCGGCGGCCTGCAGGTCACGCATGACCTGGTACGGGGTCCGGTCGCGCGTCCATTTGCCGATCAGCTCGTCGAGCTCGTCGTGCCGTTGCCAGCGTTTCTCTGCCGTCGCCAAGCTGGCATCATCAGCCAGCACCTCGCCGCCAATCACTGTCGCCAGAATGCGCCACTGCGCGTCGGTCGTGCAGCTGATGACGCACCATGCCTCGTGCCCGAGGCACGGATAGCAGCCCTGCGGCACCGCATTCGGGTCGCGGTTGCCCATGGGCCCGGCCACCGTGCCGTTGGCGAAATAGTCGAGATAGACCCCTTCCATGGCGGCAATCGTCGTCTCCACCTGGGCGATTTCGACGTGCTGTCCCTCTCCCGTAGCCGCCCGGTGATGGAGGGCCGCCATCACCGCCAGCGTCTGTGTGGCGGCCGCGATGTAGTCCGGCTGCGCCACCTTCACGCGCGCGTTCGGCGGCGAGTCGGGGTGCCCCCACAGGTACGACATGCCGGTATAGGCCATCAGCGGGCCGCCGAAACTGACGTAGCCGCCGTGCGGCCCCTGGCGCCCATAGCCCGGCAGGCTCACCATGATGAGGTCGGACCGCACCTCTTTCAGATGGGCGTAATCCAGGTCGTATTTGACCATGACGCGCGGACTGAAATTTTCGACCACCACGTCGCTGACGGCCACCAAACGCCGCAGCAGACCCTGGCCCTCGGGCGTCTGAAAATTAAGCGTCACCGAGCGCTTGTTGCGATTGATCTCACCGTACCCAGGGTTGTCGGGCTGCCGTCCGTCAGGGTACTTGCCGGTTTCCACCTTGATGACGTCGGCGCCGAAATCCGCCAGGTAGCGGGTTCCGTAGGGGCCGGCCCAGGCGCGGCTGAGGTCCAGGACGCGAATACCCGCCAGCGGCAAGCCGTTTTCGATGCCTCCGGCAGGAGCCGGCAGCCCTTGCGCTGGCGCCTCGAGTTCGGCCAACACTTCGTCCTGGTGTTCCCCAACCCGCGGTGCCGGGCGCCGAATGCGCAGCGGCGCGGCAGGGGCGAGAAACATCGGCCCGGCGCTGCGCAGACGACCAACCGGCGGTTGCTCGAAATCAATAAAGAACTCGCGCGCGCGGAGGTGCTCGTTGTCCGCCACGTCCGCCACGCTGCACCATGGTGCAGCCGGCACGCCGTGGCTTTGCAGCAAACTGGTGAACGCCCAACGATCGAAGCCCGACGCGAATTCCTCCAGAATCGGATCGACCAGTTCCGGGTGCTCGTTGCGGTAATCAGGGTTGCGCAGCGCCTCATCCGCCAGCCGGGGGTCGCCGACCGCGCCGGCCAGCTTCTCCCACAGGCCCGACATCAGGGTGGCAATGAACACGTAGCCATCCCGGCAGGGGTAATAGCCATTCGGCGGCATGAAATTCCGCGCTCCCATGCGGTACGGAATGTCGCTCCACAAGCCGTAATTCACGATCAGGAAATACAGATTGGCCAGCACCTCCTGCACGCTCGTCTCCACCAGCTGCCCCCGACCGCTGGCGCGGCGCTCCCACAGCGCCATCAGGGCGCCGAAGGCGGCGTGCAGGCTGGCCAGATAGACGCCCTGCTCGCACGGCGACACGCACGGCGGCTTGGCGTCGTCGCCCTGAATGTACGTCAGTCCGCCCATGGCCTCGGCGATGATGTTGTTGCCGGCGTAGTCGCTGTGCGGCCCGCTGAGGCCGAACGTGACATGGACAGCCACACCAAGCGCGGGTAAACCGTGGCCACGTCGTTCAGGTCAATACCCCTGGCCGCCCAGGCGTCGATACCGTCGGTGCTCACCACCACGTCGGCGCGCTCGGCCAGCTGCGAAAGCGCTCCTGATCGCGGCGTTGCGTGAGATCGAGAATGACACTGCGTTTGTTCACGTTGGCCCGCACAAAGGGCAGGCTGAGGCGCTCGTCCCCCGCGCCGACGAACGGCGAAGCGTGGCGCCCGCCATCCCCCTCCGGCGGTTCGATTTTGATGACGTCGGCCCCCAGGTCGGCCAGAAAGCGGCCAACCAGGGCACCCAGCGGCTCGGTGACTTCCAGAACCCGCACGCCTTGCAGCATGCCGGGAAGGTGGTTGGAGTTGTCTGTCATGATGATGGCTCCGGCTTAAACTCGATAAGATTGCCTGTCCGGGTGCTTCAACCGGCGCAGTTACACGACGATGAATGGACTACACCTGATCCTTGGAAATATACCGATCGGTGTAGTCGAGGTGAGGAGGAGGCTCAACATTGGGGATGTTCGACATGGATCTGATCTCACCGATGTCCTCCGGCAGATAGCTCAACCTCCATGCGACAGCCAAGCGATTCGGATCGTCGAGTGGTTTGGGAAATTCAATAGGAACTGGCTTCGGTAGATCAATCAACCTCATGCCCTCATTCTTTACAAAATGGACAAGCCAAGGGCCTAACGCGTCGACAATACTGCGGTGCAAATCGTTGCGAGAGCCGCCACCCGTCAGGAACACCGGCAAGGCGTTGCCTGGCTGAAAGCCTTCCGCATGCGGGTCGCGATGACGTTTCGTGTCCCAGATTACTTGGTAGAGGCAGCGGGTGCACTGTGTGCTGAATTCCTCCTCCGTTCTTCCTTGTTCCCGGAACCAATGGAAAGCTTCCACACCGAGCGGACGAACGGCGGCGGACAAGAGAGGGTATCTGTTTCCCCCGCCTTGGTGCTGAACCAGCCGGAATATGCAAGCGTCAAGCGTCATTGCTCCCACATCCACAAGCAGATAGAGGCCTGGTACGCTGCCGGTGGATCTGGCGAATGGGGTCACAGCGGCTGCAACCTCTGGGACAACCGCAATTCCCAAGGCTTGGGCACTCTTTGGCAACCGGGCGGCTTCTTTTACACGCTCGTGCTGCAAAATCTTCCGTGCCGTTTCCACACTTGCAACTGATCTGGAGTCCGCCAGCATAAGCGCCGCAGCCGCAGCCTTGCGGTAGCCCCGGACCAGTGGCTCATTATCGTAGTCGGCGGCGGGTAGGCCGAAATTGACGAGCCAGTTCACATTCCGGCCTCGGAACAGGTCGGACCGATTGCATACAAGCCATCCCCTGACATAACGAATCACATAGGTGAGGTAGGCCACGGTCGCCTCGACCTTGTGAGGTACACCATTCGCTGGCGTGTCGATATTTTGTCCCATTATGCCCTGCTTGAGGGCACGAAGCAGGTTCACACCTTGCTCGGGATAGGGGATGAATTCGCCGTTTCCGCGAACCCAGAGGACTGTCTGCCAGAGATAGGGGTGATTCTCGCTCAGGCAATGAGCGGGCGCGGGAATCGCTACAGTCGGTTCGCCCGCTTCGACGGGCAACCGGACAATAATCTTTGTCGAACTAGTACCTAGTCAATCTGAAAAGTGGGGGAAGGACCATGCCATGTGCACCCCTGCCTCGCGAGGCAGGGGTGCACATGGACGGTTTTCGGCATCCGTGCATATCACGTTGACGAGGTACTAGTACCGAAATCGAGACCGATGACGACGAGCATAGGCCGACCTTCGGTACTCCCTGACGGGAAGACTCCGGCTGCAACGATACGGTCAAATGCGTCCCGGGTCTCCTGGGATGTGTGTGCGGGAGCCTCCTCTCGCACCTTCATTTCCAGCGGGAAGTCCCAGAACCGAAACGGTTCCCCAGCACCGATATTGTCTTTCTTCGCGGAGAGATCATCACCGAGCATCGGACCTCTATTCTTCTGCGGCGATTGCTCATGTTCCACCTTCAGCATATGTTCGCTCCCTGGTTTTCGTTTCCCTCACCTCGATCAGAAGGTACGTCACGTCTGCAAATTCCGGCTGATATTCTCGTTGTTGCTGTATCTCCTTCAATCGCGACTTGAGGCGGTCTTGGAGCTTGGCAAGGGTCCCGTCGGTTGCCTTCGCCAACGCTGACAGCCGTTGAGCAAGACGCTCATTGCCCAATTCTCTCTGTCTCTCCGCGTTCCACTGATGCCTATCACGCTGCTGTTTCAAATCTTCGGTCTTTTTACCAAGATGACGTATGAGAGCCTGTTCCCGGATGGCAGCTCGGTCCTCAAGGTCGGCCTTCTTTCGTTCGTGAAGCACCCCATTCAGCCGATCCATCTCCGGCAAAACATGCTCGTACAGCAATTTGACTGCCGCGGGCAATCTTCCATCATGCGCAAAATTTGGCAGCGGGCGCCCGTGCACTGCTGCCGCTACGGCCATCGTCTCCGCAACCTCGGACGAAAGAAGTTCAGACTTGTCAAGGTCTGCACCGACATAGGTCAAATGTGTCTCGCTACCAGCACGATGGCCTGGGACAATGGCCTCCCAGCGCCTGATGCCGATTATATAGATGCCGGGTTCACAGTTCTTGAGATGTTCGCACCAAACCGCAGCGGCAACAGGCTGGGCTTCGTGGACGTCCCTGTCACGCTCATCCAACTCTCCTGCAAAGTTGACGAGGCCATGCAACCGAGATATAGGCTCGACTCCATTTTCCCACCGTCGCGCAACCGATGAGGTAAAGCGATAACGTTGCTGGGCGTCGTTGCGGACCAATCCTGTCCCGGCTGGCAAACGTCGGCGCGCGATAAAATCCATCAAAGCCGCGTGTGCGCCGGACGAAAGAATGATGCGGTAGGTATCGGAACCCGCCGGGCTGGCCTCAATGCAGCATCCGGGAAAACTGCGATCCAATCGATCTTTGACATATATCAGAATGTCATCACCGGCTAGCCACTGATGACGCTCATGCCTTTCTTTGATTTTCTCTAGGATGTAGTCACCGTGACGGATCAACGCGCCAGCCTCTTGTTCAAGGACATCCTCTTCAAGTCTGCGATTTTGAATCGCCTGCGCCGTCTGTTTGATAACGAATTTTTTCTCTTCCTCGCTCAGCCTCGGATCAAGCAGTTTTTGTGTCATTTCCCGGATCGGTTCGCCAAGAACGGGCTCGAATTCCCCAAGAGCACGCTCGGAAAGCTTGAGACGCTCATAGAGACGGAGATATATTTCGGCGTCGATGGTGCCAGAGTGGACTAAATTAAGAATCGATACCTGCGGGCTCTCCTGACCGAGACGGTCAACGCGACCAATGCGCTGTTCCAGCCGCATTGGGTTCCAGGGCAGATCGTAATTGATGACAATACGGCAAAACTGTAGATCGATCCCCTCGCTGCCAACCTCGGACGAAAGCAATATGCGTACATCGGCTCTGTCCTTGAATCGTTTTAGAACAGCCTCCCGAGGTTCGTGGATGCTCCCGTGCAGCAACTCACAGCCGATGCCAGATTCTTCCAATCGCCGTCGGAGGTAATTCAAAGCCGGTTTGAAGCTAGAAAACACGATGACTTTCGCAGCGGGCTCGTCCTTAAGGATTAGATTAAGTTGGCATGTCAACGTCTTAAACTTGGTATCGTTTTTCTCGAGACTTATGGTCTTGTCTAATCTTTTCGCTAAACTTTTCAATCTTGCGAGCAACGGACGGTCATCCCAAGCGTTCGAGTCAAGGTCGCCGTCGGTTTCTTCGATGTCGTTCGACTGGCTTTCTCCAAATCCCGCCCAGTAAGCGGAAGCTGCCGCTAGACTGGAAGTCAGAAGCCGTTGCGGGGTGGACAGGAGGAAACCTACGCTTACATCCTGCTGGCTGGCATAATCCGCCACTTCCCTCGTCACGGCGTCATAAAAGGCGCGTTCCTCCTCGTTCATATTAATAACAGGGGAGCCACTTGCAAAACTCCGCTAGTTTGGCCTCGGAGCGGTTGTCATGAGACCGTACGGTGAATCATTTGCCGTCGGTGGTTCCAATTGCCACGAATTCAGCCATGGCGGTGCCGAGTTCCGGCTCCCGTCTTGCGATGCGGACGCAACTCTCCCCCCTGCGTACAGGACAGCAGCGCGTGCCGGGATGGAGGAAACGGGGCCGCGAGACCAGCTTCAGGTCACCAAGCGCATCAACTGATCAACCGTGAGCGCCACAATCCCGAACATCAGATGACACAGCACCTTGGCATGGCCGCGCACGCGCACGCTGCGACCTCCGAATTCATCCTTGAGGCGACCATTGACGCGCTCGACGGTCGAGCGTTCGTGGTAACGTCTCTCCTCAGACAGGACCAACCCACAGGCACGCCGTGCCTGCCTCTCCTGCCGCAGCGCCTGCTTGCGCGCGCCGCTGCGGGGGTTGACGTCGATGATCGCAACATGACCCAGGGCGCGGCTGTGGGCGCGGATTTCCGGGGCATCGTAGGCGCTGTCCATCAGGTCATACAGGTTGCGGACTCGCTCCGCCGTCAGGGTCGCCAGCGGGATGGCGACTTGGCTGTCGTGCAGCGACGCCGAGGTAAGCAGGCAACTGACCGGGATGGCGCCGTCGGCCGCGTCAATATGCAACTTGTAGCCGCTCCATGACGTCTGATAGCCCTTGGCGTCGCGCTTGACGCCAATGTCACAGGCGTACGGCAAGTCGGCGAGCATCTCCGGCAGGGTCATGTTGCGCTGGCGCTCCAGACGGCGCGGCTCCGTGGGGCGCTCCTCGCCCTTGCGCGGACGCCCGCGCCGCCGCTTCGGCTTGGCCGGCTGCGGCGCCTTCGGGGTCGGTCTCTCGCGCCCTTCAATCGCCGTCGAATCGCGTGAAATATGGCCTGCCAGACGCTCACCCTGGGTGCGTTTGATCAGCGCCTCGTGCAGGTGGCTCGGCAAGGCGCTGTCGGCAAATTCGGCAAAGGCACGTGAAAACGTCGCCTCGCTCGGAATGTGCTTGACGCTACGCCAGCCGCACAACCGGCGCAGGGTGCTGTCGTGGCGCAGACGATCAAGCAACATCCGGGTGCTAACCAGCGCGAAGACGGCCTTGGCGATGAAGGCGCGGGCTAAGGCCGCGCGGTCGCTTGGCGGACAGCCGCGACGCCGGTGCTGGTACGGCAGCAGCGTTTCCACCCGCACCCATTCGAGCACCATGACGAAGCGCTGATGGCGTTCCCCCAGCGCCCCGATCGTTTCCTCAAGCTGCGGGAACAGCAGCGCTTGAAAGCAAGACCAGTAACTCGATAGTATCTCACGTAAGGCCATTGGGGTCGTTCCTCCTGATTCGGTTGTTTGACAACTCAACAGAATC